ATAACAGGAATAGAAGAGGGACATGACCTATAGGCTAAAAGAATAGAAAATTTATTCAGTGAAATAATAGCAGAAAATTTCCCAGATCTTGGGAAAGTTACTGACATTCAGATAAAGGAGGAATTTAGAAGTCCAAATATACATGACCCAAAAAGAATCTCTCTACAACATATTAAAGAAATCTTAAAGAAATGAACATAGATTATTCAAAACAACCAGAAGAAAATAAAGTGGCAAGAACTACAGCATACTTATCAATAGTGATCCTGAGTATAAATTGTCTTAATTATCCAATTCAAAGACAGATTAGCTGATTCGATTAAAACAAAAACCCAAATCCCCCAATTTGCTGCCTGCAAGAAACTACCTTCACTGGGAAAGATAAGCACAGACCAAGAATGAAAGGAGGAAAAGTGACATTCTAAGCATGTATATCTGAGAGCAAGCAGAAGTAGCAATACTCATATCTGACAAAAAAACTTCAAACCAAAAATGAGAAGCAAAGAAAGTCACCACATATTGATAAAGGGAACAGTCCACTAAGAAGATGTAACAATTGTGAACATATATGCATCAAATTTTGGAGGAGCCAATTTTATAAAACAAACACTATTGACATAAAGAGAGAGATATAACCCAATACACTAATAGTGAGTGTGTTCAACATCCCTTTCTCAGCAATAGTTGGATCATCCAGACCAAAAAATCAACAAAGAGCTATCAAACTACATAATAGATCAAATGGACTTAACAGATAGCTATAGTGTATTCCACCAAACAGCTGCAAAATATAAATTATTTTTATCACTTAATTGAACTTTTCCCAAAATATGTTTTAGGCCATAAAACAACACTAAACAAAGTAGTGAAGTAATTTCTTGTATTTTATCAGATCATAATGAAATGAAACTGGAAAGCAACAGCAAAACAAATGACAGAAACTGTGCAAACACATGGAGATTGAACAATACTCTTTTGAACAAGCAGTTAGTCACTGAAAAAATCAGGAGTCTACATTTTAAAAACCAGTTTTCAGTGCCCATATTTAAAAAAAAATAGATCTCAAGTAAATATTCTCAAAGTCTTAGAAAACTAGAATAGACTAAATGCAAAACTGGCAAAAGGAAAGAAATAATAAAAATCAGAGCAGAATTAAATGAATTAGAGACCAAAAGAATAATATAAAGCGTTCCTTCTTTAAAAACATAAATAAGATTAACAAACCCCTAGCCAAATAACCAAAAGAAAAAAGAAAGAAGCCCAAAAAAGGATTAGAGATGAAAAAGGAGACATTTCAATGGATACCATTAAAATCCAGATGATCATTAGGGAATAGTTTGAAAAATTATAATATCAGCTGAAAATTTTAAAAGAAAAGTACAAATTCTGGACACATATGTTTTATCAAAATTGTACCAACAGGATACAAAACCTAAAAAGATCAATAACAAGCAATGAGGTTGAAGCAGTAATTTTAAAGATCTCTCAACATAGAAAAGCCCAGATCTGGACAGATTTATTGCTGAATTTTACCAGACTTATAAAGAACAAATACCATTGCATTTCAAGCTATTCCATAAAATAGAAAGGAAGTAATGCTTCCAATCTCATTCTACAAAGTCAGTATTACTTTGCCACCAAAACCTGATAAGGACACAACAAAGAATACTACAAACCAATTTCCTTGATGAACAGATGCAAAAACCCTAAATATACAGTTGCAATCAAATCAAGTGACAAATTTAAAAGATTATATGTCACGATCAAATTGTTTCAGTCCAGAGATGAAAAGATGGTTCAATATCCTTAAATCAATAAATAAAATACAGTACTTAAATAGAATCAAGGACAAAAATCACATGATCATCTCAACAGATGCACTTTCTTGCCTTTGACTAAACTGAACATCCCTTCATGATAAAAACCCTGAAGAAATTAGGCTTAGAAGGATCCTATCTCAACATATTGAAGGCTATAGATAACAAACCCATAGTCAACATCAAAATGACATGTAAAAACTTCATTTGCAGTTCCTCCAAAATCAGGAACAAGATAAAGATGTTCACTCTTATTCAATATACTGCTTAAAATTTTAGCTAGAGCAATTGAGCAAGATAAAAAAATTAAAAATACAAATTGAAAAGGAAGAAACCCAGCTTGCACATATGATTTTATACTTAGAAAACCCTAAAGACTTTATCAAACAACTCTTAGGAACCTCATAAACAAATTTAGTGAAGTAGCAGGATACAAAAGCAATATACAAAAATCAGTAGCTTTCCTATATCCTAATACTGAACATACTAAGAAGGAAATCAGGAAAACAATCCCATTCACAATAGCCTCAAAAATAAAAGTAATATGCATAGAAATAAAGCTTATGAAGGAGGTAAAAGACCTCAGCAATGGAATTTATTTTTTATTTTCTTTTATTTTTTTGCCGTACTGGGGCTTGAACTAAGGGCCTACGTCTTGAGCCACTCCATCAGCCCATTTTTTGGGGGAGTGGGTAGATGGGTTTTTTTCAAGATAGAGTCTTGCAAACTATTTGCCCAGACTGGCTTTGAACTGAGATCCTCCTGATCTCCGCCTCCCAAGTAGCTAGGATTACAGACATGAGCCACTGGCACCTGGCCAAAAAAAAAAAAACACATTTTTTTTTTTTGGTGGCCCTGGATTTGAGAAAATTATTTTAAAAAACTGAAGAAATGAATTGAAGAAGACACTAGAGGGTGGAAAGACCTCCATGTTCATGGATTGTGATAGTTAATATTGTTAAAATACCTAAATTACCAAGAGCAGAGTCGCTGCAATCCCCAGCAAAATGTTAATGACATTCTTCATGTAACTAGGAAAAACTCCTACAATTCATGTGAAAGGACAAATGATTCTAAATAGCAAAAACAATCCTGAACAAAAAGTGCTATGTGAAGGCATCACAGTACCAGATTTCCACATATACTACAGAGACATAGTAACAAAAACAGAATGGTATTGCCATTAAAAGACACGTAGAGCAATGGGATAGAACAGAGGACCCAGAAACAAACCCATGCATCTACAGTCATCAGATTCTAAACAAAGGTGCCAAACCCACATGCTGGAGAAAAGATATCTTCAACAAATGGGTCAAGAATTGATAGTTGGGCTTACAGAACATTAAAAAGCTCTGCATAAGAAATATTCAACAGAGTGAAAAGACACCCTAGAGATGAGAGGAAATCTTTGCCACCTATACATCTACAGAAATTAATATCCAAAATATGCATGGAACTCAATGAAGTTAACAAAACAAGTAATCCATCCAATCAATCAATATGTGAGTGATCTGAACAGACACAATTTGAAACAAGTACAAATGGTCAACAGACGCATGAAAAAATGCCAACAGATTTGGCCCTCAGGGAAATGAAAATCAAAACTACATTGAAAGTTGGGCATGGTATGACATAACTGGAATCTCAGCACTTGGGAGGAGGTGGTAGAGGGATCACGAGTTTGAGGCCAGCCTGGGCTACATAGCAAGACCCTGTCTCAAGAATCTACCCCACAGGCAACAAACCAATAGGACTACATCAAGATTCCAATCAGAATGGGTATTATTTTTTTTAAAAAAAGAAATATTAGTAAGGATGTGGGGGAAGATGAATCATTATACAATGTTGGTGGGAATGTTAATTAGTACTATGGAAAATAGTATGGAGGCTCTTTAAAAAATTAAAAATTGACCAAGCATGATGGTTCATGCCTATAGTCCCTCAGGAGGCTGAGGCAGGAGGATAGTGAGTTCACAGCCAGCCTGGACTACATAGTAAGACCTTGGTTGAAAAAAAAATTGAACTATCATATAAGCCATGTATATAGCCCAAGGGGATGAAGCCAGCACACAAATAGATGCCTGTATACCCATATTTATTGGAGCAGTATTCAGAATAGCCAAGTTACAGAATCAGCCGAGGGGCCCACTGTGATAGGGATGGATAAAGAAGATGTGGTATATATACAAATGGAGCGTTATTCAGCCATAAACGAGAGTGATGGAACGAAGATCAATATGTTTACCCAAATAAGCCAAGCACAGAAAGACAACTATCCAACGTTTCCTCTCATCTGTGGAACCTAAACGTTCTTTTAAAAGATGACGATATGAAAGTAGAAGAGGGACTAATAAGGAAGGAAAAGGGAATAGAGGAGGGAGAAGGAAGAGCAACAGAAGGTATTAGGGAGGGGTGGATTTATTTGAACAAAGCATACATATATGTATGGATGTATGGAAATGACACAGAGAAACCCATTAATCTGTACAATCAATATTAGTTAATAATAACAAAAAGTTTGACAAGAACCACATGTGCAAAAGAGCAGCGGGAAATAAGAATCAACGCCAAGCTGCAGATGGAGGGGAGTGCCAGGTTAAGGAATTCCTTTTGAGACAAATGCTCAGTTAAAGCACGTCTGAGAGGTGAGAAGGGCAGGTACCCGTAGTATTTGGGGACCAGCTCTGTGCCGGGTCCACTGGACATTGTCTCATTGACCCTCTCATTACCCTACGAGACAGATTATCAGGATCCCTATATGGCGAAGGTGCCCTGCCCCTCCCAGCTCGAGCCATACATGTGGGCCTGTTGCCTTGTCGTATTATGTTACGGCTGTGACTTATGACCATGAATGCGCAGATCTCTATGTCCCTCAGAGGGTCTGAATGACTGGTAGAAGGTCCTGACACTGGCACCGAGCGAGGTCCAGGCAGCTGCCAAGGGCGGCCGCTGGGGCGGGGCACCAGCGCAGTGCTAAGGCCCGCCCCGCAGCTCAGGAGACACGGGATTGGCCGCCGGCGCCCGAGGGGGCGTGGCCATGTCGGCCTAGGGGGCGGGGCCGTGAGCAGGGTCCTGGACTAGCCTGGGCCGGAGCACTGGCCTAGCGGGCTGCGCGTCCAGGCTGCAGGCCGAGCCCACGCCAGCGGGTCGGGTCTCCTGCGCCACCGCGCGCTCCTTTCCAGCATGTTGCGACTAGGAAGCCAGGCACTCCGGCGTTTCTCCACCGGCCGGGTGAGTCCAGCCCGGGCGAGCTCTCCTTGTCCTGCTTTCCAGACCCCGAAGCTCTGGGAGGGCCGGGGCGGCAGGGCGGGGGGCGTGCAACCATGCTTAGACTTTGTGCAAAGGCTAAACAGTGTTTTTAAAACTGGGAGACTGGAAAAGGTCCGGAAAGGTCCTGGATGGGAATTGTCAAACAAACCATTGTCTCCCTTGGGGAAGGGGCTGCGGATGCAGCTTTTGAACGTGTCAGATCTGACTGGGATGACAAGGTGGGAACAGCCACTTGGTCGTGGGGACAGAGTCTGTTCCCTTTCTTTTTTCAATGCAATCGTGAGATCTCCTGGTCCAGAGATGGAACGGTGTAAGAGCAAGACTGAAGTATCAAGTCAGCCTCAGTGGCCTGAGAGGTGCAAGTGCTCTGGAGTGGGATGCAGGGCCCACTGGGATCATGGCACTCCGAGCCCATAGCGGCAAGCTCGGTATTGCTGCGCGGCAAGCTCGGTATTGCTGCGCTAAGCTCGGCGGCAAGATTTCTAGGATTGCCAAGAGCTGCAGAGGCAGCCACGCTGGAATTGCATCAGCTCCTGCAGACATGGACTTAAAGCCGACACGTTGCATGGGGCGCTGCCTTCAAGCACTTCTGGGGGCCTGGGAGAGATGCCATTCTGAGGCTTAGGCAGGCCCCAGGCTCCTCAGGGAGGAAAAAGCTCACCACCCCATGTACATGATCTGTTTTATAGGAAGTACATGCTTGCCCTGTTGTACAAGATTTTGGTCTTTCATTGTTTTTCTCTGCCAAAGCCATATGTGCACATGTGTATACACACATGTGAAAAAGTTGGAGGTAGAAAGTCTTAAGTAGCATCAAGAATTGTTCCAAACTTGCATAAATGGTAAAGCTTTTGTACCACCAGATAACCCCAGATAATGGGGATTCATTTTACTCCCCAGGCTCAATTCTACTTTGGGAGTATTTGCATTTTGTAAAATAAGAAGGAAGAGACCTGTCTGCTAGAGCTTTGGTCTGCTCTCCTAAGCAGTGCTTTGGCCCCTTCCTTAGCTTCTCCCACCACTAGCACATGGGGAACTGGTGGGATAGCACAGAGAGCAAGGGGCTTGTGCCTGCCCGCTTTGTTGGCCTCCTCTGACAAGACGTTTCAGTGAATTGTCCTTTGGGGAGAGTAGAGGAGAATCTAGAAGATTCTCCATATGTACTCCTGAGGACAGCCAGGAAGCCTGGGAAGGCCTGCTTCTTCCCCCATCCAGGCTTTTGCTTATGTCAGTTGCCATCTGGGATGTTCACCTTTTATTACTGAAATCTTTTGCAAACCTCACTGGTGGGAATATGAAAACCAAAAGGTTTTGGAAAACCCCTTGGCAGTTTCTTATATAGTTTTGCAATATACCTATCTTTTGACCCAGCAACCACCCTAGTTTTTTGTTTGTTTGTTTGTTTGTTTGTCTTTGGGGTGCTGGGAGTGGAACCAGTGCTTTGCACATGCTAGGTAAGCATCCTGCCACTGAGCTACACCACCAACCTCATACTTCTAGGTATCTACCCAAGAGAAATAAAACCTAAAGGCCTATTTACAAATGTTTACTCGGGCTTTATTCAGAATCACCCATAACTGGAAAGTTCTTAATTGTCCTCAGCTAGTGACAGAATAAACAAACTTTGCTTTATCCATATATATATATACATATATAATGGAATGGGGGTGGGAAGGGGAGCGGAAGGAATGAACTACTAACTCACACAATATGGAGGAAATTTAAGTATGTATGTTAAGTGTAAAAAGCCAGACTCGAAAGGCTAAGTATTTTATGATTTAACTTGTTTACATTTTGAAAGGAGTAACACTATATAGGGACTGAAAAAAGATCAGTGCTTCTTAGGAGCTAGGGACAGTAGGAAGTAGTGACTATTATTGATGGGCATAAAGGAACTTCTATGTCTTGATTATGGTAGTGATTACATGACCATGTCTTGTCAAAACTCACAGAACTATACACTAGAAAAGATGCATTTTACTGTATCTAAATTACACCTTGAAGGGCTGGAGATATAGCTCAGAGGTAGAGTGCTTGACTGAATTATTCATTTGTCTTAGTCTGTTTACTGTTGCTATAATAAAATACCTGAGTTGGGTACTTTATAAAGAAAAGAGGTTTTTTTAGCTCACATTTCTGGAGGTTTGGGAGCCTGGTGCCAGCATGTGCTAGGCTCTGGTCAGGGCCTCATAGTAATGGCATTGATGATGTCTCCCCCTTTCTCAAAGTCTGAAATGTTTCCTGGTCACCAGCTTCACCCTAGGAGCTCTCACTAGTCCCCTGTGCTAGGCATCTCTCTTCTGGCTTACCCTGCTAATAGGCCCCTGTATTGACATCTCTCTTTTAAAAATCTTTTATCTTTTTTATCATAAAAAATATTGTGGACTGGAGATGTAGTTCAGTGGTAGAGCACTTGCCTGACATGTATAAGACCCTAGGTTTGCTCCCCAGCACAACAATAACAACAAAAAGTTAGCCAGGTATCCCACAAAGTACCATTAGTGCCTTCTTTATATAGTGATGCAATAGGAAAATCAAGTTATACAAGTCTGTCATTTCTGGTGGTATCCGGAACCACGGCTGAATCTTGCCCAGATTTAGCTCTGTGTAGCGTGTAATTTGCTGCTCCTGTTAGCGTGAGAGCTTGTCGTACCAGGCAGCATGGGCTTTTCACTGCTCCACGCACACCCTGTGAATGTACTGCAGGTCAGTCATTAAGTCAGCTTTTATTTTCACACTCTAGCTACTCAATTCTCAAACGCGAGAGGCAGGCCAGCTCAGGCTGGTTCAAGCCTCAACAGAGCTGCCTGAGAGGTCTGAGAGCACAGAAATGAGACCGTGTCACTCTCCTGCTTAAAGTCACTTGGTGGCCCCCACTACCCTTACAATAAGGTCCAAATTATTTGACTCAGGCAAGGCCCTCTGTAATGCCTCTGTCCAGGGTGTCATTAGTCGCCACTGTGTGACACCCGGTGCTGGACTTACTATGCACACTCATTTGCTTCTTTGTAAAGGTTGCTCCCTTAGCCTGGAACTCCCCAAGGGTCTCCCATAATCCTCTCCCTTATCTTGGCCAACTCCCAAGATGAGTCCTCTGAGATTCAGCTAAGGAATTCCCTTCAGGGGATGCTGTTCTCTTTCTGAACCACACTGTGCTCACCTATCAGTACTGTGCTACCAAAATGTCTTTACTTAGGTGTCCTTCCTACTAACTGATGAATTCCTGAAACAGGAAGCACTTTATATGTGTCCCTTCAAGCCTGGGGTCCCAAAGGAAAATGTCCACAGAGGCCAATGCAGAATTGAGACTGGATGGAGGGAAAGGTCAAGTCCAAAGTCAAGGGGGCCACCAATGCTCAGTTCCCCTCACTGCTGCTCAGTGAGAATGTAAACCAGTGTTGACGAACCTCCTGGGTTTTCAAGAGAACTCAGAAACTCACCTTGCGAAACCTCCCAAAACTCTTAACAGAGTTTTAAAAATAAATGCCTCCTGGGCCAAATAGAACACTCCTCCAGACCACCAATATACAGCTGCCACCACCACCATGTCCAGAGCGTAGTAAATCCTCAAATGATGCTTGTTAGATGACTCTTGTGCCGGGCCAAGCCCCAAGGGGCACTGTGTACAAAATGCTGCACTGAGTGTCAGGCATCTCACTGTCTCAGAGAAATCAACTGCTTTATTCTTCTGCGTAGAGGACCTTCATATAAACCTGCCAGTTCTCACAACTCCTAATGTGGACAGCTTTGGCCCTATTTTATACCCTGCTCAAATGGTTCTCTAAAGGTAACTTTTCCTTCACAAAAGAGCTTCACATCAGGGCAGGCTCTTAGCACCATTTCTTTATGTTTTCTGGCAGTACTGGAGTTTGAACTCACACTTCCTAGGCAGATGCTGTACCACTTGAGCCACTCTGCCAGCCATTGTGTGTGTGTGTGTGTGTGTGTGTGTGTGTGTGCATTGGGTGTTTTCCAGATAGGGTCCTGTAAACTATTCGCTTGGGTTGGCCTCAAACCGTGATCCTCCTGATCTCTGCCTCCTGAGTAGAGAGGATTACAGGCATGAGCCACTGGAACCTAGCATTGTTGGATTTTTTAATCATTGGAGCACAGTCAGACTCCATGCCAACTTACTTCCAAGTATTGTACTGTAGATTGAATAGCCCAAACATGCATGTCATTGAAAAAGCAAAGCTGGAGCTGGGTCTCATCTCTGAGTCTCCAGACTGGAGCTGTAGCTCAGAGGTAGAGTTGCTTGCTGGCATGTTGCCTGGGTTGGCCTCAAATTGAGATCCTCCCAATCTCTACTTCTCAAGTAGCTGCAATTACAGGCATAAACCACTGTGCCCAGTACAGAATTCACATTTTAAGCACATCTTCCCAATGGATTCTGACAACATGGGCAATCAGTACTCAGACCATACCAGACTAAGAAATATCCCAGTCCAGTTTTCTGAAATCCTGTGAATTCATTAGGAACACACTGTCATAAAATGTGCAGATTTCCCCATGTTAAAGATTCACCTTGGGGCTTGAGGTGTAGCCCAGTGATGGGGTGCACATCACTTTTTATACAAAAGGCCTTGGATTCAATTCCCAGCACCTCCCTAAAAAAGAAAAGGAAAAAATAAACTCACCTTTATAGCTTCAGCTTTAACATTAAGCTCAGGAAGTGTTTAAATGAAAGCTGTATTTTCATAGATACTGATGTGATTTCATTAAACACTGTCTTCCTGAGAGAATATTGAATCTGGAACTGAACTCCAAATAATAAGATGACAGACAGCCAAGGAATACATTCCACTGAAGTCAGCTTGGTCTCTTGGCTCTCATGTGTTTGAGGATTCTCTCTCTCTCTCTCTCTCTCTCTGTCTTTCTCTCTCTCTGCAATGCGGATCAACCCAAGGGCTTTGCATCCCAGGCAAGAACTTTACCACTGAGCTACAGTCCCAACCTCTCTCTAATGTTTTCAAAGTAATATTTTACGTGACTTAAATAATATGGCACTTTGGTAATGGTAAAGTCAAAATTTTTATAAGATAGCCAACATGTAGATTCTACTTCAAGTTCAGCATTAATTACAGGATACAAAGATAGAACACACAAAATTTTGATTTTTGAAGAGAGGAAATCCAATAGTCAACTATGCATTATTTGTGGGTGAAGTTGTTGTGACATAGTCAATCTGTTTGCTTGCAGGTATCTGTTGGACATTGAAGCCTAATTAGGCTCTTTGGGAATAGAAATTTTGGCTGACCCTCGAAAAGGATTTTCAAACTAACCCCATAATTGCTTAATTATCGTCTCAATTACAGAGAAGTTGTGGTTTGGTATCCTTTTAAGTTCATGCCTTAAAAGGGATGTTATCCATGGCCTTCATAAAGTGAGAAATAAGGGGAAATTAACCTCCTTGATAATCAGATTGTCACACAAAAGTTTTGCTAATTTAGAATGACTTTCCAGGATATTAGAGAATGCCATAGAAAGAATTGGAAAAGGAAATACATTCTAAATTCAAATCCCGTGAAATCATATTCCAAATGGAAGAATAAAAGGGAGGGAGTATTTTGGGGCACGTGATTGGGAAGCACACAGAAAGTCATGGCTCTTGGATTCCCACCTCCACACCCACAGACCAGCATCCAGCCTCCTCACCATAGCTTTTCATCACGCATTGCGCCCCTCCCGTCAGTGCACAGCCTTTAGTGTTCTCTGGGAGAATTCACAGAAGGTGTCGTTACTCAATGGCAGCCCATTAATCTTTAACCCCTATATTGCAACTCTTATCTATATGAAGTTTATATTTCTTGATAATCACAGTGTGTGCTCGTGTTAATCATAAAGAATGCAGAAGAAATGGGTAGTAATATTCACTTTAATTCTTTTATTTTCAAGTTCATGTGTGTGTGTTTGAGTCAGATAGATCTTGGTTCAAATCCTATACTCTCATGCTTTCTAGCAGGTGACCATGGAGATACACTTGATATTTCTAGCCTTCAGTTTAGTCATTCAAATTGTGCAAAGATTATATGACAGCACAGACAGGAGCATAAAATGAAGTGAAATGACGTCCAGGCATCTGTCACTTATCTGAAAATTTTAGGGCCGAGTATGTTATAGCATTCATAATTATGTACTTTTTGGAAAGTTCCTATAATACATAGAATAGTGCCTTACATAAAATTCCCAGCAGGGTCTGGGAAGTACCTATAACCAAACACATTGATTTTTTTCCACATCAAATATTTGAATATTCATAGTGCCTTTTTTTATAAATGACTGTAAATAGCATTATGTCAGTTTAGGTCAGATTTGAAGCCAAATGGCTTTGTTTCAAACTTAAAAGAAACCTATAAAGTATTACGTAAGATCAAGTTAGATCTTGAGGCCACATCTGTTTGGGATACTTCCAAAGATTTTTGAATTCTAGACTATGTGAAAAATAAACATAGAACAAAGTCTGGTTATAAGAAGACTCTCTACTTAAACAGTACTTACCCAGTGTCACACACTAAGCTAAGTTTACGTCATATTAAGTCATTTGCCTCAGTGAAAATCGTGTGAGGTTGGCAGTCTTATCATTCCCATTTACAAATGAAGGGAAGTTAGCTACTTGCTTAAGGCCACACAACTCAGTGCCAGCACTAGGTTTTAACCTCAAGTGGCCTAGCTCTAGGTTATGCTTTTGACCTATACTGAATGTTAGAGCTTGGCTTCTTTCAGAGGTAAGAAGGGAGTCCAGTTCTTATTTCTCCATTACCAGGGGATAAAAGCATTGCCATATTAAAGTAGGTCTTCTCCAGAAGTAAGCTCCTTTTAAATATGACATGCTTGTTTGTTTACATATAGACTCATTCACCAAATGCTTCAGATTGCTTATAAAAAAAAACTTACCTCAACCCCAGTATTTAAAATGAACAATCAAGGAAGTTAGACCACGGGAAATGAGCAACACTTAGATGTGAACTGTAATCTGAGTTCAGTGTAATGTTAACAACTATTTGATTTTTTTATATTTATTATTATTTTGGTGACACTGGAGTTTGAACTCAGGGCTTCATGCTTGCTAGGCAGACACACTACCACTTGAGCCCCTCTGCCAGCCTGCTATTTTATTTTTTTGAGGCAGGGTCTCACTATCTAGCCCAGGCTGGCCTCAAACTTACAACCCTCCTGCTTGTGTGTGTGTGCCACCATATCAGGCTAACAATTTTATTTTGTAGATTTTTAGACTTTCACAGTCTCAAGTTAACTTATACGACTTACCATCCAGTGTCTTCTATCTTTGTGTTTATTTGTCACCACTGAATTGTTTCACAGGTTTATTTCAAAACAAGCTGAAGTTGGCACTTATCGGCCAGAGCCTCTTTGGACAGGAAGTCTATAGCCATCTCCGGAAGGAGGGCCACCGAGTAGTAGGGGTGTTCACGGTTCCGGATAAGGATGGAAAAGCTGATCCACTGGGTGAGTGCACATTGGGACAAGTGGACCAAGAACTCTCAAGTCTGGGCTGGTGACCAAAGCTCACGTGGCACCTCTACATTTCATCACAATGCACATGCATGCTTTTTGTTGTTTACCCATTGTCAAGGCCAGGCTTCCACCTCATGGTCCAAAGCAGCTGCCTCAGCCCCAATGAGCTCTGTATTCCAGGACTCATGGGAAAGAGGGGAAGAGCCCTTTCTTAAGGGAATAATCTGAAGTTGCATTTATTTCTTCTCCTCCTATTCAATTGGCCAGAACTCAGTCACAGACCAAATCTACTTGCAGGAGAGACTGAGAAATACAGATTTTATTTGAGGTTGCTGTATGTTCAGCTAAACTGGGGAATCCATTGCCAAAGGATGAAGGTGGACAGTTAGCAGCCTCTGCCTTGTACATAGACTTCAGAATTGGAAGCAAGTGACTTTTAGATATCATTTCAGAATGAATCTAGGAAATGAGCTCTTCCTTGGTGTCTGGACCTAGGGTCAGAACTAATCACCAGAGGTTTTTTTTTAGGGTTTATGGAGGCCGGAGAGTTGAGGTTTTGTGGTGAATGCATTGTCTCAATCTGAGTTGATTAATTTTCATGGTCGGATGGGGGAGAATGGAACAGGAATCTGAAAATTCAGATAAAAACTTTTAGTTAAGGTTTCTGGAAATGACCTAGAACTAATATATATTCTATATTCTGTAATATAGAACACTGTATGCAAAATATATTTTATCAAGTATTTAAACATATTTTTATGTAAAAACATGTATACTATTACATATTAATATAATATAATACATTAGTAGCATATAGCAATGCCAGATATGGTTGTACACACTTGTAATCCCTGCATTCAGCAGGCTGAGGCAGGAAGAACACAAGTTTGAAGACACATAGGGAGATCCTGTCTCAAGAAAAGTAAAAAAAAGTGTATATTTTATATAATATATAATAGTATATATTAATAAATAATATTATTAGTATGTAAGATTTATATAAATATATTTCTAAATCCACATATTTAAGCTATAGGATACATAGTAAACATGACATTTCATTATGGAGAGCATGCTGTGTGTCCTTGGTGGGGCCATTCCACTTTTACATGGAGTTAGGACAGGGTCCTTGTCTGGGAAGACTTTCCTCAGGAAGTTGACCTTGATCTGTTCTAGTCTGACCAAACCCTCACAAGAGCTGAGTGTACATTCTCCACATCTAGCCTCTCTTCTCCACTAACTGGCCTTTTGGAGAGATGGGGAGGAGGAACTAGACAAGTCAGCTCATCACCTTTGACCCTTCATCCTTGGGGTTCCACCTGTGAGGCAGAGAGAATGTGTTGTGCTCTACCTCTGCCCTGGATGGGGAGGTAAAGTCTCTAGGATTTCCAAATGTGCAAGAGACACAGCATGTTTGATTTGGGGATGTGGGATTGGCTCTTGGCTCCACCTCTAAAACTATGCTCTTTAAAGGGTTGTATTAATAATAAAAGTATCATTTTTTAATCTTAAAAAGCAAAAACTTCTACTAAGAATCTCAAAATATTATTTAACCACAAACTTTTGAGTTCAAATATATTATGCCTTTAACATAGAAATGTCACATAAGAAAACTGGATGATACAATTATAATATGATATAATTATACTATGTCAAATTCTAGTCATAATCTGAATTGTTCTTCACTGTGTTTTATTTATAGATGTTTTGTGAAACTATAAAATTACCATGTGTGAACCAATAACAATGTAAAACTATGTCTAGCTCTTTAAAAATGAAAGTCATCTTTTTTCATGCTCAGCTTTGGCTGCAGAGAAGGATGGGACCCCTGTGTTCAAGTTCTCCCGATGGAGAGTCAAGGGCAAGACCATCAAGGAGGTGATGGAGGCCTACAGATCTGTGGGTGCCGAGCTAAACGTGCTTCCCTTCTGCACACAGTTCATCCCCATGGATGTAATCGATAGCCCCAAGCATGGCTCCATCATTTATCACCCGTCCATCTTGCCCAGGCACAGAGGGGCCTCTGCCATCAACTGGTGAGATTGTTTTCATAGCTGAGATGATGAGTCTCTTCCCATTGCCTGTATCGTCTTTCTGCTTCTTTACCTGGGTGATCAAGAAGCTAGGTATGTTGGAACAATTATGAGGCCCCTGACTGCTTCTGTTAAATGAACTCCCCTGAGACCTGGAGATACAGCATAACCAGAGCAGCATTCTCCTAGAATAGTCTAGAAAGCATTAGTTCCAGTGACTGTAACCAGGTATTCACCAAACAAAGATTCTGTGGTCAGATAAGTTTGGTTTTGGTCAGATAAGTGCTGGATTGCTTTATTGTAGGACGTCTTTGAGCATTCAATAAGTGCCCTAATGTGAGTGTTTCAGTCTCCAAGAAGGAATCTGAGTACACGGTGTTCCTAAACTTATTTGGCCATACAATTTTTTTTGCATAGAGCATTTCAAGTGCGTCTCAGAAACTGCTAAATTACTTGTAACTATCTTCTTCGTTGTTCATCTTCCCTTCTTTGACTTTAAGCTTCTAGAGGGAAGAGAGTTTGTCTAACATTTTTATGGCTGTTTCAAGAACAGTGCCTGACACACTGAAGTACCTAACACAGTAGGTACACCACACTGTGAATTGAAGTAGGCCTTTCCACCTTTTTCACTTTCTCACCTGCACATCTTCCTGATACTCCCAAGTATCAAATTACCAAATAGATAGAAAATCTACACTTGGTTTCAATGTGATGAAAAATATTTCATTGTATTTAAAATTGACTACATGAATTAACTTCTGTTTTGCTCTAGTGTGGACATCTTTACACTTAAATTTGTATTTTTTTTTCCTTTCACATTGTTTCCACATGCAAAATCATTGAGTCAAAACATTTGAATGTTTTCAAGACTCTTGATAGTATAATTCCACAATTAATCTCTCAGTATTTCTGAAAAGAGTGATTCATTGAATGATTGATGTAGGTCTTGGCCTAATCAGTAGCTCAGAGAAGTAAAAATGATTGAGATCATAGGCATTACTGATCTACCACCTCAGAGTCTCTCTGTACTAGCTGATCTCTGATATGTATTTGTCTGAATATTCTCCTTATTGTTCATATTAGCTTCTGTGGAGCCAAGATAAGCTTTTCTCTTAGGCTTAACTGTATAGAACATAAAATACAAATTGTTGGATTAGTCAATCTTTTTTTACCATAATTTATGTAGACAATCTAGAGCTAAGTCTAATCCCTAAGTTTATACCTCAACTATACAACCTAAATTAACAGTCAGTTCTCCTCTTCACATTGCAATGAATATCCTCTGTTTTATTATCTTCCATTCATATGCCTCCTAATACAAGGTCAAGTACAATGAACGGATTGGGCTGGGGTTGGCAGATTATTTGATACTGAAGTAGAAGGCTGATACTTGGGTATCAGTGAGTGATAGACTTTATGCAGTATTGAATTCACTGTGACTTTTTACTGTATATCAACAGAAAGATCAAAGGGATGAGGATGCACAAAATAGCAATACTAGTAGGTGTTGCTTCCTCCAAGCTCTGACGTCTCCTAGCTGTACCATTAATTTCTCAAGGTCACTTAATTCACTATCTGTTTTCCATGTTAACTACCTTGTCCTTTAGTATTACTGGTTCTTCACTTGGTGATTCAGTTAGCCAACATTTTAAGTTGAAACTCTTCTTTTCACAGGACTTTAATTATGGGCGATAAGAAAGCTGGGTTTTCTGTTTTCTGGGCTGATGATGGCTTAGATACAGGACCTATCCTTCTTCAGAGATCATGTGACGTTGAGCCTAATGACACAGTGGATGCACTTTACAATCGATTCCTTTTTCCTGAAGGAATTAAGGCCATGGTCAGTATATTTATGCCATCAAAAAGAATTTAGTAAACCCTTGAAGTCTGAGGAATGTTTTTCTTTCATTAAAAATTTGCAAGCCAAGAAAAGTGGTGCACACCTAAATCCCAGCACTCAGGAGGTTGAGGTAGGAGGATTGCAAATTTGAAGCCAACCTGTACTACAAAGCCAGATCCTCAATCTCAAAACAAAAAAAAATAGAATTTTCCATATGAAATTTCACTAAAAATATAAAGCTTAAAAATTAGATTTTATATTTAGAAATGGGATGACATATTTAGTGTGGAAATCTGAACTTGAAAATTTCTTAGTCTGTAATGCTGACTTGTCCCTCTTAGGGCAGTGATAAAACAGATGCATTACCAATTAAACCGCTCCATTTCTCTTGTGAAATACTCAAATCTCTCTGTTTATAATGACAGTTGTAAAGAAATATACAGAGTCTTAAGAAATTTTGCTCTATTTTATGGACTTCCTTTAAAGATATTTTGAGTTAGTGTATGTAACAGGGGGAAGTGTGGTGTTGCTTTATGAATTCAGATGTGCTACAAATAAAACACCCAAAGCATGTATACCCTGAAGGAAAAATACTGAAAGATTCAGCAAGCAATTCCTATGTGACTTAATTTTTCCCCAGAGTTTGTAGTAGAAGCAAGATTATATAAAATAGTCACCATTAATGTAGGAGGGAGAAGAGCAAAGCTTTGTGTGTGTCACTTTGTGACTCAGAGTAGGACTTTGGTGTCAGAAAGACCTACCTTCAAGTTCACATCCTACCACTTGTACAATGGCACTGTGTTGGATGGTAATAAGCAAGTCACTTAGCCTCTTTAGCCTTGGTTCCCTCATTTATAAAATATGCATAATACTGCCTGATTTGCGGGATTCTTATGAAAATTAAGTGACATTATTTGTGTAAAGCATCTGGCACACAGCAGGTGCTCAAAAATGATAATTAGAGTCAAAGGCGTCTTCTGCGTGTTCGGGTGGCGTTTACCTGATGGCTGATACAGGTGGAGGTGAAGCTACTGAGCTGCAGACTGAGCTCTGATCCCAGGTGCTCCCTCCCTGTGATCTGAGGCAGGTTGTTCAGCAGCTGTGAGTCCTCAGAGAACACCCGAGCTCTCGTGTTCTGGTCACACGAGCTGTTGCAGGCCTCCAGTGAAAGCAGAGCCTCCCCTCAGGTATTTGCCCTGATACGGTAGGTAAGAAAACACAGGACACATTCCAAAGGCAATCAAAGCCATGGATGGATTTTAACTTTTTTTAATTCCAGGTGTCCTGAGCTAGAGAGCAAGTTGAACTAATTAAATATGATAATGTATCATTTTCTAGGCTCACCATGCTGAATACAATAACCTATAATGATTTCTTTTATAATTCTGGAAATTTTCATGGAATCACCAAGGAGAGGTTAAAGTTTTTTTTAACAGGGGAGTATGTACAGTGCTGGGTATTGAACTCAGGACCTTGCAGATGCTAAGCATGGGCTCTGCCACTCTGTGTGTCAGTTACACCCCCATCCCCAAAGAGGAGTCAGCATGGAGTGCAGGCTTGATACTGGTAGTGGGCACGCTGGATGAAGATCCTGCTTCTGATGCCTCTATGCCATGTCTGTGAGCTTCGGCTACTTGCTTAACTTGTCCTCTGCCACAGATTCTCCATTTGTAAAACAGCAGTAATAACAACACCCGTTTTGCAGGACTTCTGAGTTGTTTGCCAGGGATGTTTTACATAAAGTAGCTACCACACTTTGTGTGTTCAACACATAGCTGGACCTGAAGAAATGGTAGTTATCAGCCCAGCCTGAATCGGAACAGACTTATCTGTAGTAGGTCTGTGAGGCACAAACCTTAGCTCAAGAGGCCATGCCGTTGGCCCACTGGGCTGCTACACACACACTGGTTTTGGCTTTAGGTAGAGGCTGTCCAACTCATAGCTGATGGAAAAGCTCCTTGTATTCCCCAGCCAGAAGAGGGGGCAACATATGAAGGTATCCAGAAAAAGGAAAACGCTAAGGTATTTATTTATTTATATTTGATTTGATTTGATTATTTGATTTTATTTATTTTATTTCACGGTACTTGAGGTTGAATTCAGGCCCTGTGCTTGCTAGGCAAGCACTTGACCTCTTCAGCCACATCCCCATTCCAGTCTGTGTATTTATATCAACTTAATAGCACATCTCAAAGTTCATGGCCCTCTGCCTTTGAGAGGTTCCCAATGTACCATTTCCTGACTAAAAGGGCACCCTGCCCTACCCTACCCACTTGTGCCACGGATGGACAGAAATGTGTCTGTATTGCTGAGATTCACACCCAGCCCATGTTTGTGCTTGCTTAGATTTCTTGGGATCAGCCTGCCGAAGTCTTGCATAACTGGATTAGAGGTCATGATAAAGTCCCTGGAGCCTGGACAGAGATAAATGGACAGGTAATCTCATTTGTCCCCATACTACCCTTCCTTGGATGTGTGTGCTACTAGGGATTAAACACAGGGCCTTGCATGTTAGATAAGTCCTCTACCACTAAGCAGGCTAACATTCCAGCCCTTTTTTACTTTTATTTTTAAGACTACATCTCTCTAAGTTGCCCAGACTGGCCTCGAACTCATGATTCTCCTACCTCAGCTTCCAGAGTAGCTGGGATTATAGGTGTGTACCAATACATTTAGCTCCATACTACCTTTGTAAGAGGTGTTACAAAGAAGTCTAGGCTTCCCCTGGTTTTTCACTTAGTCATGAGCAGGGTCTGTGATTCCCTTGCCTCTTGATTCAGCAAGTATTGGACATTTATTGTGAAGCAGATGCCAGGCACTGCCCCTGCTCCCTGCTTCTCAGGGAGGGGAAAGTGGAGAAGTGAATGCAGTGAGGCAAATACTGAAATGAGGCCCAGGTTCAGGGCTGTGGAGGAGACTTCCTAGAGAAGTCACCTGCTTTGGTAGAACTTTCGGAACATGAACAAGGGGGAAAAAACAAGGAGTTGGAGTCCAGAGATAATAGGGGAGTCTGGTACCTCCTTTGAAAGGATTTTAGGGGAGAGTTCAATGGCAGACCCTTGGCTGTGGGGAGAGATGAGGCAGGATGGGAGGCGGGGCAGAGCATGAAGGGCCTCCTATCCTGGTTCTCACATGTCACCTCTAGAAAGTTTCCTGACCTCCCATGCCCAGCCAGGTGGGGTCTGATGTCCATCCCCTATGTGTCAACAATGTCTGCCCACCTCTAGCATAGCAGATTCTATAGGTCCCCCACCAGGTTATGAATTCCTTAGGAGCCAGGGCCTCAAGTTATTGACTGGATGATGGATGCACTTAAGCAGGAGTCCTAGTGCATGTTAGATACCAATAAAAATGTGTGGATCAATGCATGACCAATGGAGGAAGTTTAATGTGGTCATGGGTGTGAGATCTGAAGCCAGAATGTTTCCATTAAAATTCTGCTTCTACTACTATTTGCTGTGTAGCCTTGGGCCAGTGTCCTAAACCATTGTTCCCTCTCTGTAAAACGTGATGTGTCATACTGCCTCTCATAGGTTATGGGTTATTGTGAAGCTTACATGAGTTAATGCATGTTAATTTATGTAAGTACTTAATCCCTGGCATGGAGTAAGTATTCATAAATAAATGTTAACTACTATAGCTCAATAAATGATAGCCAGTAGTCATAGAAGGAAAATAACAAATTAGTGTCAATTACTCTTGGTTGTTCAAGTCTTGTTCCATGAACTTGTCCCATGTACCCTACATTTCTTTGGTTGATTTTTAAATTTATTATTATTATTATTATTATTATTTTGTGGTGCTGGCGATGGAAACCAGGGCCTCAGGCACATGTGACAAGTGTTCTACCACTAAGATTCACCTCAGCCCAGCATCCTGTGTGGCTCCTCATGAATTTACACTCCCAACACCTCCATACACCCCACAACCCTACCACAAACCAGGCCATAAAGGCTGTTTTTTTTTTTTTAATCTCATTCACCTGTGTATGAATTTGAATACACGATAAACATACACTCATGTCATCTAGATGTGGGGTGACACCTAGAGTTTTTTAAACTCTTTGATCACACATTTGCAGAGTCTCTCTTGCTTTGTGACTTCTCCATTGATGCTTGATACAGGCCCTTGTGTTTTGTTTTGGATGTGTACTATTTAAAACTGTCCCATTAGATTAGAGACGAGATTAACTTCAGTTTTTTTGCAGGGAGTGACACTTGTACCCACTCCTGTGAACAGCTTTACTTCCTGATTTTACCATCTGGGTTTGATCTTTTTCTTAGATGGTCACTTTCTACGGCTCGTCATTACTGAATAGTTCTGTGCCTTCCGGAGAGCCACTGGAAATTGCAGGTGCCAAGGAGCCTGGCCTTGTTACCAAAAGCGGTCTTGTGCTTTTTGGTAACGATGGGAAAGCAGTGAGTGTTCAATACAGGCATCTATGAAATCACTTTTTTGGGTTCTTTCTGTAACCCCAGCTACTAAGGGAATGACTTTCACAAGTCACTAGCTTCGTACTGGGATGTGGGAGGCTCTGTGTCCCCATTTCTCTCTGGTGACAAGCTGTCTCTGTGCCCTGGGGAGACATGGCTCCTCAGGATGAGTCCTGCAGACCCACACAGTCTGTGTTGTGATGTCATGGAGTCAAGTCAGGAGACGAGGATGTGAACCCCTGTTCTGCCACTTATGGGTCTTGGGCTGGATGGTTTTCCCTGCACTCAGTTTCCCCATCTACAAAGTAGAAAGGGGAATCCGTCTGTCCCTCCCACTGCGGGAATCTGAGAAGATCCATGAGATGCACGTGGCCTCTTCTGATGCTTGCTGACGTTGCCTCGCTAGGCAGGGGCTGGGGGGACAGCTCAGGGCCTCAGTGCTCTGGGGCAGCCCCCTGGCAAAGAGTGCAAAAGGACATTTGTAGGTCAAAGATGCTTTCCAGTTGCTAAGGAGATTTATCACCCAGCTCGTTCTAGGTCCTACTCCTAGCTCCGTTGCTCACTATCTCCATGGCCCTGGGTAAATTACTTAGCCTCACTGATCCTCCATTTCTGCATCAGTAAAATGGGAATGACAATGACATCACCTCCGGCAGAGTTCCTTATTTATAAGATTCTTCGGCACCCACGTACACATCGTGCATGGTGCAGAGTAAGTGCTTGCACAATGGCAGGGTTGTAGTTAGTGGGAGTGTCGGGGTATATTAAAGTAGGTTTCAGTCCCAATACCTATATCCAAATGCCATTTTTTCCTGGACTTACTATTCCTTTTGAGATATATCTGCCCTTAGCCTTGACTTTCTCCTTTCTGCTGTCATTATTAAAATGCCATTCCAGTCCTTTTTATATAATGGCAAGTACTTGTAATTCATATTTTTTTGTATTTTCCAAATAAACTGATCTTTTATTATTTATTTATTTATTCATTCATTCTGGCAGTTCTGGGGTTTGATCTCAGGGCCTCAGGCTTGCTAGGAAAGCTCTCTACCACTTGAGCCACATTCCCAGTCCTTTTTGTTTGTCTGTTTCTTTTTGGCTTTTAGTTTGTTTTTTAGGTTGGGTCTTGTACCTTTGCCTGGGTTGGCCTTGAACCAAGATCTTCCAATGTCTGCCTTCCAAGTAGCAAGGATTAAAGACATGCACCACCACTCGAGGCCCCAAACAAGCTGATTTTTGTACTTTAGACTCCTTCTCCCACCAGTCTCACTTTTCGATGGTCCTAGTCCTCAGTTTTTGACTTGCTTTGTTGCTGTTTTGTAGCTGATGGTGAGAAGTCTGCAGTTTGAAGATGGGAAAATGATTCCAGCCTCGCAGTACTTTTCGGCGGGTGAGACACCTGTGGTAGAACTTACAGCCGAAGAGACGAAGGTGGCTGAGACCATCAAGGTGACCATGTGATGTCCTTAATAGCCCTCTTATATTGGCAAACTGAAGCTTGTCCTGAAAGTAGCGGGGCTAGAACTTTTATTTCCTATTTTTTTGTATAAGTTACGACAGGAAATGACCCCAAAATTTATATGCGCAAATTTATGTCCAAATTTATTTCTCACCTAAGTAACCCAAGGCAGTTCTAAATTGTTTGGGGAAGAGGGATGAAGCTGGGGTTTGGGGATTGGGCTGGAGCCATGCAGGGGCTCAGACCCTGCTGCCTTCAAGGTCATTTCTATTACAGACAGCCAGAGAGCAAAGGAGCACAAGGAATTGTGGGGAGCAGGTTTTCCATGGGTCGAGACTGGGGCTGTGTGGGTCTATTTCCCTCATAGTCAAGAGATGCTGAGAAAAGTCAAGCTGTATGCACCAGATGAAGGCGAAATAGTTTTGGTGAAGAGCTGTGGTTCTATGCGTTGCTTGTGTCCCTCACAGAAGTGTCCCTTTTTGTGTAGGTCATCTGGGCTGGGATTTTAAGCAATGTCCCTGTTATCGAAGACTCCACAGACTTCTTTAAGTCTGGAGCAAACTCTATGGATGTCGTGAGGTAAAGCCTCTCTGTTCACACACACACTTCCACTGGGGATTTTGACTTCACTCTGAAAACCAAATCTGACTCCTTCGTACTGGATGTCCTCACTCCAACATAAGCCTCTTTTCTTCATCTTTTTTGTTGCTGTAGTCTATGTCAGACATCTCTATCTACCTGCTTATTTCTCTTTGTTGCTAACCAAGTTTTTTGCATATCTCCTTTAATTCTAGTTATTCACAACTTCTAAAACTTTGTCTTTACAAAATTGAGCTGATTTTCCTCTGATGTGACATTGGAGTTGAGAAGCTCTGGGAGAGAATGCTGAAAGGGAATTTTTTATCCAGCCTGACCCAGAAGGATATCTGATTGTCAGTTATTCTTCCTTCCAAATCTTTTGTCTCCCATCCTCCCCAATTGCCCTGGATAGATCTAGAATGAGGGTCATGAAGCTGCTTACAAGAGTCAGAGTAATCATCCCTCAGTGAGAACATCTCTGCAGAGGTCTGTAGCAAGCTGAAAGGGTGAGGAGCCTCCTCTGGTGAGGAAGGTGGGCCAGAACCCTAATGGCAAAGTCCTGCAGAGGCATTTTTTCTTTGAGTGACGGGGATAATGAGACAGCTGGGCACCAACCAGGACCATACAGTCCTTTGATGCTGTGTGCAGAGCACAGAAGCTGAGGAGAATTTGATATCCTGCCATGCCATGTCCATTCACTAAGGAAATAAGGTAAAGAATCTTCCTCCTCTTGATGTAATCCTTCCTACCAACAAAGCGATTTTCTTGAATATTCTCTTCATTCATTTATTCACCCCTTTAACAAAATTTATTGAACATGTACTACTTATTAGGACAGCTTTGGAACTGGGCATACAGTCGTAAACTAGACAAAGTTCCTTTATTCATGGAGTTTTTATTCCAGTAACCAAAAATAATAATTTTAAGAGCACAGTGTATTATGAAAAGTCAAGAGTTTGGGTTCCTTAAATTATAGGTTTCTCAGCAATGATTCATGAGTTCCCAGAAACTTCTAAGTAGTTTAATAAAGATCTCAATTCTGTTACTAATATTTTTTTGCTAGCAAGATGCCTGCAGGCATTACTCATTTGCTGTTTGAATGTCTGACTTACCATAATCATCTGATATTATTATCTTGGTAGCCAAGGCACCTCATTGCTTTTAGCACATAGATTATCAGAAAACACACTGTATTGTAGTACACCATTACTATTCAAGAAATATCAGAGGCTGGGCTCACACCTGTCATCCCAGCTACTTGAGAAATGGAGATCAGGAAGATTGCTGTCCAAGGCTGGCCCAGGCAAAAAGCATGAGACTCTATCTGTAAAATAACCTGAAGCAAAAAAGGCTGGAAGTGTGGCTCAAGTGGTAGAGTACCTGCCTAGCAAATATAAGGGCCTGAGTGCAAATCCCAGTACCACAAAAAAAAAAGCAAGCTAGAGAAGGAGGGTTGAGAGAGATAAAAACAGGAAGGAAGGAAGGAAAGAAGGAAGGAAGGAAAGAAAGAAGGAAGGAAGGAAGGGAGGAAAGAAAAAAGAAAGAAAGAAAGAAAGATGTTAGATAACAGCTGTAATTTCACAAATTAGCCAAGGAAATCAAAGGATTGAAAAAGACTTGTAAAATGATATTGACCTATGTGCATCTACTCAGTACCTACATTAAATATGCAACACAAACAAGTGTCTGCCTTATCCCTGTGCATAGTCTAGAGAAAATATTCTATAAGACATTCATTTCTCATTATCTTCCGTTAGGAAATTGCCTGTTTTCTCCTTATTCCTTGAGCTCATTTGAAAGGAAAGGAGCTGATCTTATTTGTCCTTACTATCTTGCTTGTAAGACTTAAAATATATTTGCCTTGATTTCTTTTATTGTCATGGAGAAAGTTAAAAACAAAAATAGTCATTTTCAGAATTGGAGGAGTGGCTCAAGGGTAGAGCACCTGCCTGGCAAGTGTGAGGCCCCGAGTTCAAACCCTAGTACAACTAAAGAAAAAAAAAAAAAAGAGAAGAAGAAGAGGTTACCAAAAATAGTCATTTTCCTTCAAGACAGTTTTTAATTTTTTGCCCCAAGTCTTATTGGCTTCTGTGATTCTTTACCACAGATCTCATGGGGTGTAAATAGACATGTGACAGAAGCCTCACTTCAACACAGCCTGACAGATGCTGTAAATAGTCCTCTGAGGCCCTTTTAAAATGTGAGTAACATGAGCTGCTTCTTGTCTTAAGGCTGGTTGAAGAGATCAGACAAAAGTGTGGTGGACTTCAGTTACAGAATGAAGATGTCTATATGGCTACCAGGTTTGAAGACTTCATTCAAAAGGTTGTGAGAAAACTGAGAGGAGAGGACCAAGAGGAGGAGCTGGTAGTAGATTACGTGAGTGTTCCTTGACATTTCAGCTCTGTGTCATTAAGAGCAGAGCACCTTTCATTCATTTGCTTTACAGTTATAACCTTTTTTATTTTTGTAATCCAGGCTGGCCTGGAATTCACTATTGTGGCCCAGGCTGGGCTTGAATTCATGATCCTCCTGCTTCAGCCACCCAACTGCTGGGATTATAGGCATTTGTCACCACACCTGGCCATTTATAAACTTTTTAAACCAGTTTATTGAGATATAATTCAGATATCATAAAGTTCACCCTTTTAAAGTATAAATTTTTGTGGTTTTCAGAACATTCATACAGTTGTACAATTATCATCACCCCCAAAAGAAAGATTGGCAATCATTGGCAATCATCCCCCTTCTCCCCACCTCCTATCCTCAGCCCCTGGAAACTACTAATCTCCATTCTGTCTGGACAGATCACCAAAGACTGGATATTTCATATATGTAGACCCATACAGCATGTGGCCTTTCATGTCTGGCTTCTTGCTTTTAGCAAATGTGTTCAAGGTTTTTGTACACTGTGGTACATGTCATCACTTCATTCCTTTTTCTGACCAAGTGATCCACTGTGTGGATCTACCATGGCTGGATTATCCACTCATCAGCTGGTGATCATTAGGGTTACCCCCCCTTTTGGGCTGCTGTGACTAATGCTGTTATAAAAATTCATATGTTTTCAGTTCGCTGGGTATATACCGAAGAGTAGATTGAATGAGGCATACTGTAGCTCTATACTTAACTTTTTGAGGAACTGCCAAAATGTTTTCCAAATCAGCTACACCATTTTTTAACCCACCCACAATGTAGGAGAGTTCTAGTTTCTCCATATCCTTGTCAACATTTGCTGTTATCTGTCTTTTCTTTTGTAGCTGTCCTCGTGGGTGTGAAGTGGTAACTGTGGTTTTGATTTTTCATTCCCTAATGACTAATGGTGGGGAGCATCTTTTCATGTGTTTATTGGACATTTGTATATTTTTCTTTGGAGAAAAATTAATTCAAACCCTGTGTGCAGACTGGGCATAGTGATACATACCATAATCCCAGCACTGGGGAGATGGAGACAGGAGGGTTGCAAAACCAGCCTGGCTATGTAGTGAGACATTGTTTCAAAACAAACAAAAAACCCAAACACAACAACAGAACCCAAATCCTCTGTCCATTTTAAGACTTGAGTTGTCTTCTTATTGTTGAGTTGTAAGCGTCCTTTGTATATTTTGGATACTAGATCTTCATTGATATGGGTTTGCAAATGTTTTCTCTTGTTCTGTGGATTTCCATACAATTTCTTTTGTACAGAACAGAGAACATTTAAACATGAACCTGCACACAGGCCGACGCAGTTAGACAGGTACAGTGAGTGGATGGAATCTACTGTGTGATGAAATGCTACAAACGCCATTTACATGCTGGCAACAAGAAATGTACTTATTGTTTGAAAATCCAAATGCTGGCATTGTCCAGAAACAGCTAGCGGCTTTGTTTATAACTGTTTTAAAGTTAAACTGTGGAAACTTACTCACTGAAACACTTTGACTCATAGTAGTGTTTTATACTCTCACATTTATAATAAAATTCACACACAAAAATGAAACACTGCCAAAACCTGACATCTGTGCCCTGTTTTCCACTCACCATCATGTACCTTTTGAGCCCATGGGAGGAAAATATCTAACATTCAGGATTACTGAGAACGGGAAGAGGGGAAAATGGGAGGAGGGCAGAATGTTTCCTGTCATAGTGGATTAAGCTGGTTCTCCACATACGCGGTGTGCTAGCTGGATGTCTTTTGGCATAATTGCTACACTTTGGCATGGAAAGCGTACAGATTGGTATCTTCCAAAGGCCAACCAGCTGGGCCTCACTGGGCTCCTGCAAATCACCAGTAGTTGCATTCTGGAAGCACAGATCTGTTTTGGAATTCTGAGCAATTTCTTGTACCAGATGCTAAAAGGGGATTTTTTTGTAAATCAGAAGTTCAATGGACTTCTGAGAGCATCTAATTTCACAGAGTGCCACAGTACCAGACCTGTCACAATGAGATTTTTGTCATCCCTCCAGTAGAGGGCACACTCTCCTCAGCAGCTTTTGTAGACAGTTGTTTCCTGGGTTCTTTCCCATGGGTCAATTTGCAGGCAGTCAGCTCTGTAAGAGCAAAAGGTAGAGAATTCTCCCTACTTAACCCACCCCCCCACCCTTCGGTGGCAGCTCAGTCAGCTAGAGGCAGTGCTGCCATTTCACAGCAATGGCCTCACTTTCTTGACAGCGTCCTTTGACACACACAGATATTTTGATGGAATCTAATTCATCTATGTTCTTTTGACACTTGTGCTTTCTGTCTGGCTTGATGCCTTTTTACCCTAAGTCCTCCCATACTGCCTTCTTTTGTGTTAAATAGATATTGCCTAATGTGTCATTTTAATCCCTTATTGTTTCTTTATTATATCTTTTAGTTATTTTCTTAGTGACTGCCCTGAGGATTACAAGTAACTTTTTAACTTAAAACAAATTAGTTCAGATTAATACCAATTTACTACTGATAGTATAGAAGGATTTAGCTTCAGATGGGTCCGTTTCATACCCCCTAACTGTGCTGTTGCTTTCATGTAAGTTCCACCTTCATACATGGTAAGCTCACCAACAGTTTTTTTAATTTTTATTATTTTATTATTTTTTATTTTATTTATATGTGCATACAATGTTTGGGTCATTTCTCCCCCCTACCAACAGTTTTGTAATTATTGCTTTACTTGATCATCTTTTAAATCTTTTAAAGAGTTAAAGATGAAGATCTATTTATCCTGATGTGTGTACTTGCTTATGTTACCTACCTTCACCAGTGCCTGAGTACTCGTTACTGTCTAAGGTCCTTTCGTTTCAGCTGAAGGGATCCTTGGATTAGCACTGAGTTTTCTCAGTTCTTGTCCATTTGAGAATGCTTTAATTTCTCCTTCATGTCTGAAGGATATTTTTACTGTGTGAAGCAGATATCATTCTCCTATTTCACTGTTGAAAAAACAGCTTTATAGAAGCTAACTGAGTAACCTCAATCCACTTGTCAGCCAGCGGTGGGAAGAAAAATTTAAGCATCATGCGTAACAGAGGAAGCGAAAACTGGGAGGAATTTAGGGAAGAAACCTGAGTGTGCACAGCGTGAACCGGCACCTAAGGCCAAGGCATTTTCAAGGTGTAAGTGGAAGCAGTGGCCGTGCTCCATGGATGCCTCCACTAGATGGTGGTGTGGGCATTGTGTGGTGGCTTTTTCATCTGCAAGGAAGGACTGAGCTGGTGACAAAGCCCAACCGAGAATACTGTTATCACAGGCACTGCTCCAGCCTCAGTGGCCACGCCAAATGTCTTAAGGCCCAAATTGTACCCATATTTGACCTTCAGGACAGCAGGAGCTAGAATCCATTGACTTAACTCCTCCCTTTACCTTAGAGAATGAGCTTCTTTACTGCTGTTTGGCATCAAATCAATAAGCACAGAAATCACTGAGTCTGTTAACATAATTCTCTCTCAGGTTTTGAAGGAGGTCAATGACATGACGATAAGAATGCCTTCTCAGTGTTTCATAAATGGACAGTTTGTGGACGCAGATGATGGAAAGACGTATGACACCATCAACCCAGCAGATGGATCTGTGAGTAGTGACAGCACATAGTGACCAGTCAATGAGGATTTTTGGTTTACACGGTTGTCAAACAGGCAGTCTTAGGAAGTCACCCAGCACTTCATATAAGCATACTTTCTGCATCCTTTCAACTATTCAGTACTGGTAGCGGCCACTGTTAACTCTAGTTACCTTTTTTTTTTTAACAGAATGAATATTTGTGATGAATTTAAACAGCTATAGTTATACACAAAAAAAGCACCCCTCTGTGTAGAGCTATATGTGGGAAAAAAAATTTCAGACTTTGAAAATTCATGGCAAGAAATTCAACTTCCCTAAGACACTAGAAGAAATGTATCACCTCCCTAAATGTGTTCATCCGTGAGATGTGGCATGAGAAGTACCAAATTTCAGACTGGGTACAGTGGCTCACACTTGTGATCCCAGCTGTTCAGGAGGCAGAGATTGTGAGCATCACCTTTCAAGGACAGTCTGGACAAAAGTTAGCAAGACCCCGTCTCAACCAACAAGCTGGTATGGTTGTTCACACCTGTGGTCCCAGTTACTCAGGAGGCTAGGTAGGAGGATTGCTGTCCAGCCTGGTCTCTGGCAAAAATGCAAGACCCTATCCAAAAAATAACTAAAAGGGATGGGATTGTGGCTCAAGTGTTAGAACCTAGCAAGCGTCAGGCCCTGAGCTCAAACCTCAGTATTGCCAAAAGAAAAAAAGTACCAAATCTCAGGTTCACAATTTACACATTCAAATTATTTCTTTTTTCTTTAGTGTGTTACTGGATGTACTAATTTTCAATCATAACATTCTCCAAGTTTTATTAAGTATACTCTTTTTCTTATTCATATAATGTTAGTTTCAAGAACAACATTAATACCTCTCTTGTGACCTGTTTTTCCTTACCTTGAACTAGACAATCTGCAAAGTGTCCTACGCTTCTTTGGTGGATGTTGACAAGGCAGTAGCCGCAGCCAAGGATGCCTTTGAGCACGGCGAGTGGGGAAGAATGAACGCCCGAGAGAGAGGAAGGCTGATGTACAGGTGTGTGTCTTAGAAAAGAAAGTCTGTTACCTTTCGATACAGGCTAACATTGCCAAGAGTTTAAAAGTCCTTGCAAAGCATTCTATCACACACCCATTGTATAATGTCTGCTGTGACTTGTATCATATAAAGTCCCAGATGCAGGAACTCTTGATTTTTGTAAGAGGAAAAATGTTTACTAAAGGACTATTTACAGAGATGTGGGCAAGGGCAAGGGCAAGAGAGTCACACAAGAAGCAATGACACACCCCAAGCAGGAGCATCGGGAGGGAAGCTGTCTCTCCTCCAAGGTCTGAAGGGACAAGAAGAATCTGGCAAGATCTGTAGCTGCAGAAGAGCAACACATGGTGATCTTGGGTGGGGGACATGGTGGTCACTGAACTACAGCCCATCTGTGAGGGAACTGGGGAATTTAACCTCTAACCAAGTCTTCCTCCTGTTCACTAGTGCCTCCCAGTGGGCAGGACAGGCAGTGAATAAAGGTCATCCTCCAAGGTCATGGAGCAGGATGGAGAATGGCTAAAGAGCAGCAAATGGGGACTATCCAGAACCCCTGATTTCAAAGACAAATCTTCAGTCTGTTTGATGTGTAGTGAGAGGAGCAAGGACAACGACACCAAGGCCTGGGGAGAGTGCTTAAGTCAGTAACTAGGACTCCAGGAGTAATTAGATCCAATTACTATTCATTTCCTGCTTACCTGACCCCAGGTGTCTGACCTGAATTAAAAAAGAAATTTCTGTGAGCCAGATCTGGAAGAAACATTAGGGGAACATCAAGCCTGACTCTAGAATGGCCCAAAAGGACACTCAATGAAGGAAAGCAATGACAAAGTTTGACTATTTTATAATCATCCCATCGTCCTGGGCTTATCTTCCCAAAGAAACTAAACCCCAGGTTCTGGTGGCTCACGCCTGTGATCCTAGCTAGTCAGGGGACAGAGATCAGGAGGATCATGGTTCAAAGTCAGCCCAGGCAAATAGCTCACGAGATCCTATCTTGAAAAACCCTTCACAAAAATAGGGCTAGTGGAGTGGCTCAAGGTGAATGCCCTGAGTTCAAGCTCCAGTACCACAAAAAAAAACCAAAAAAACAAAAAACCCCAAACTCTATGGTAGTGTCTGTCATTCATTCCAGGTTTCTAACTTGTCCTCTTTCATTAGTTTTGAAAACATTTCTTTACCAACAAGAAATCCACAAGAGTCGGTGTGTTGTCAGTAGTGTGGGCTGCTCTGACATCTCCTTACATATTCATGAGCTGCCTACATTCCTTACATCACCATGGCTCAGTCACTCTCTACCTCTTAGGCATCCATAAGGCAGGTTATACATACTTCAGCACCCTCTGCTTCTCCTTTGCAATGGGTGAAACAAATGGTTTATATAATTATTTGTTTACTCTATTGCTCCCTTCCAGGCCATGGTGTCCATAATGGCAGAGACCTGTCTTTTTTGTATTTACCTCAATCAGTGTTGGTTGGATACATTTCTTTCACTGACCCTACAGGCTTGCAGACCTACTGGAAGAAAACCAAGAAGAGCTGGCCACCATTGAAGCCCTTGACTCAGGGGCTGTCTATACCTTGGCTCTGAAGACTCACATTGGAATGTCTGTGCAAACACTCAGATACTTTGCTGGCTGGTGTGACAAAATTCAGGTAAGCACAAATGCTCTTTGTTCCGAAGAAAAAGGGACTAACATTCATTAGTGTGTACAACTAGCCAGATCCGCCTTTTAATGTAGGTTTTCTTACATACATAACATGGTTGTCTTAGTCCATTTTGTATTGCTATGACAGAATACCCAAGACTGGGTAATTTATAAAGAACAGAAATTGATTCTCTCACAGTTCTGGGTACTGGGAAGTCCGAGATCAAGGTGCCAGCAAGTTTGACGTCTGGTTCCAAGATGGCACCTTGCCATGTTCTCTGAAGAGAGGAAGTGCTGTATCTTCATGTAGCAGAAGAGAACAAATCCATTCACACGAGCCCTTTGAATAGTGCCGTTAACCCATTCATGAGGGTAGAGCCTCGTGACTGAACACCTCTGATGAGGCCCCACCTCTTGCATTGGAACATATTTCTAATACATGAATTATGGGGGCACCTTCAGACCCTAGCATTGGCTGAAATGACTGCGTGAGGCATGTGAACAGCTCATCCCCTTATGACAGGGAAGGCAGAGATTTGAGGAAACAGATGTCTTTCTTGTAATAAGGAATGAGGGTTGAGCTCAAGACTTTCTGAATCTAAGTTCTAACGGTGTTCTCTGCCCTTTACTGTCATGTCTCCTGAGAGTGTCGAATAGCCTTCTAGATGTATAGAAAGAAGCTTGCCAGAAGAGAATGCAGATAGATGAAGCCATTTGAGCATAAGAAAGATTTTGATGACGACTTGGGTACAATAAGCATTTACTTTTCCTTGGCCTCTAAGATAAGAAGTATGTGCTAACAATGGCAGCCACGCTTGCCCTTAGCATGGTGGGGGTATGGAAGGAAAAAGTGGGGCTCCTAGCAAAGAGCAGAAGGCAGCTGCTCATGGACTCCATGGCAGCAAGGAGGAGGAAGAGGACAAAATGTAGACGGGCTTAAATGCAGCTCCAACCTCACGATGACTCATGCTTGGATCTCCTATCCGCTGGCTCTCTCTGCAGAGGAGACTGGGGAACCTAATACTCACCTGGGTGCATTGCTACCTGCAGTGTTAGCAGAGAGCCAGCGACACAGGTTTAAGTCCAACTGTGCTACTGAACAGTTAAAGCCTTGCTTCTTTCATCTGTGAAATGGTCACAATCATACATCCATTGCAAGTTATGCTAAAAGATTGGAAATAAGCTACTTCTACATTACAGGACAAGATGAGTCTGAAACATAGTGGGTCTTGCACATAATGAAGTTTTTATTGTGGTTGAGCCACAAAGTCATGCATTTATAAATACTTAGTAATAATGGCTCAGGTCTATCTCTTATCCTTAATCATGGGCTACAAAGAGCTTCAAAACCCGAACGTTGATTTGGTCAGACTCATTTGCTACCAAACCCTGACCCGAATGAACGGGATTCTCTTCATAATCTTTATTTATAGCTCCAAGAGTGAACATTCCTCTTTCATTGAGTAAATATGTTTGTTTATGGAGGGCCCTCCCAGACCCTTCTGTGGGCAATAGATAATGTAAGCAGTTTCCACTAAATTATGCTTCCAAGGTCCCCAAAATTCTGCATTCCAAAACAGACCTGGCTGCAAGGGTTTCAGATAAGAGATTGTACACTTGTATCAGTAACAGGAACAATGTCTGATGGGACAAACCAAGCAAACAGCTTCAGTTAAAGACTACTGTTGTGCCGGGTGTGATGGCTCATGGCTATAATCCTAGCTACTTGGCTCCCCCCCCCTTTATTTTTTTTTTGGTGGCACTGGGGTTTGAACTCAGGGCCTCATGCTTGCTAGACAGGCACTCTTACCGTTGAACCACTCCACCAGCCAAATCCTAGCTGCTTGGGAGGTAGAGATTAGGGGGATTGTGAATTGAAGCCAGCCCAGGCAAAAAGTTTAAGAGACTGCATCTTAACCAATAGCTGAGAATGGAAGCGGGTACCTAGCATCCCAGCTACTCAGGGAAGCATAAATCGGAGGAGGATCACAGTCTGGGCTGCCCAGGCATAAAATGAGATCCTACCTCAAAAATACCCACAGCAAAAAGGGCTGGAGGCATGGCTCAAAGGATAGAGTGCCTCAGGGCCTTGCACCTGAGTTCAATCAGGACAAAACCACTATTGTGACTCAATTTGGATTAGTTGTGTACAACAGAAAACCGAAGTGAGAAGTTTTTTATTTTTCTCCCACTTTCAAGGGGTTGAAAGACTAGTATGTGCGATTCCTCCCCTCCATTCCCCACCCCCCACCCCCCACCAGGCTCTGTTACTACCATTGACTTCTACCCTCAAGGTTGTCTCATGGTCTAATGATTACCACTGCAGCGCCAGCCATTTCAGCAACATTCTGAGCAGGAAGGAGGAGGAAGTGGGAGTGGAGAAAAATGTAAAGTCAGCCTACTTTAAAGAACATTCCCTTCCTAATGCTTTGTGCTTACATGCGCCCTTGACCATCTCTATGTGCTATGGAGACTAGGAAGTGGTATTTTATTGGACAGTGCTGTCCCCATTATTAATATTGGGATTCCTTCCCCTACTAAGGAAAGAGAGGAGAATGGACATCGGGCAATTGATGTTCTCTGCCATGCTGGAAGTTGGAAACAGGTTGACTAGATTAGAATTTTGTTTATTCTCCTGTGTCTCATAATTCTTTTGAAAGAGAAACAGTTCTTTCTTGGGTAGGGTATATTTTTTATAAATTGAACAGACCCTTTTCATATTAACTGGGGACAAATAAGAGAGGGGGACAGGAAATGGGTTCTGTGAGGTTAAACTCATTAATTTAAATTAGTAAACTAGTTATCAACCTTTTCTCTCCCTCAGGGCTCGACAATTCCGATCAACCAGGCCCGTCCAAATCGCAACCTGACCTTCACCAAGAAGGAGCCCCTGGGGTAAGGCGGTGGGAGAGGGGGAGGCCGCAAGGCACCAGAAGTTGTGTTGGTTGGGACAACTGAGGCTGCTGCTTCCTCCCTGCAGCGTCTGTGCCATCATCATTCCCTGGAACTATCCGCTGATGATGCTGGCGTGGAAGAGTGCAGCGTGTCTGGCGGCAGGCAACACCTTGGTGTTGAAGCCAGCTCAGGTGAGGCGTGGGGCGAGGTGCAGAGCTCCCACCCTGCACTCTGAAAAGCGGGCAGACACTTATGAGTAGTGTGTCTTTAAGTAAAACTGAAATTGTATATTATAACATCTTTCTACATATCAAGAACAAAATTTTGATACATCATTGACAAATATTCATTTTAATGCTACCTAACGCCCTGGATGAAGGTGCATTATTGAAAACTTCCATGACCGTGGAGGCAGGGATAGTGTACAGCAGTGTGACCCTCTGACTTCCTACAAGCCAGTTCAATCTTTGCATAATGCCAGGGCCCAGCATTTAACTATACAGAGTGGTTGTGAGCTATCAAAAGAAAAAACCAGATGCCAGTAGCTCACGCCTGTAATCCCAGCTACTTAGGAGGCTGAGATCAGGAGGATTGAGGCTCAAGGCCAGCCTGGGCAAATAGTTCACAAGACCCAATCTCCAAAATAACCAGGGCAAAATGGACTGAGGTGTGACTCAAGAGGTAGAGCATCTGCTTGGCAGGTGCAAAGCCCTGAGTTCAAACCCCTGTCCAGTAAGGAAGGAAGAAGCAAAGAAGAGAGGGAGGGAGGAAGGAAGAGAAAATTGTGCGATGGCAGGTAAAGGAAATGCGTATAGACGTGTATGCTATGTACAGCATATACGGAGCACTGTACAGCCTATGGGTGCACAGTATATACTGAACCTTAGTGTCAAAGCATGCAGGGATCAATACTGACATACAGAAAGGGGGTCACTGGAGGGTTCAGGGTGAAGATCTATAAAGAACTCTTTGTACTATTTTAGAAACTTTGTGATGAGTCTGAAATTATATTAAAATTTAAAAAAGACATATAAAATAAAGATCAAAAGAGCTCTTGCACAGCCATCAAGGGAAAACCAGGTACCAGTGTGAAGGACAGGACGGGTCTGAAGAAGGTAACTGCTGTCTGCCTCTGTCAGGTCACACCCTTGACTGCTTTGAAGTTTGCAGAGCTGTCTGTGAAAGCAGGCTTTCCCAAGGGGGTAATCAACATCATCCCAGGCTCAGGTAGGCCCTCAAATGACTCACTCGGTGACAGCCAGGGGGTGGTAAGGGGAGGCTGAGCACCTGTCCCCTCACCAGAGTCTTATCTGAATTCTAGCTATATTAAAACTAAATACAGCTTACCAAGTGTGTAACTCCTAAGGTGGAAGTCAACTGTGTGTGGGAAGCATGTGTGTGTGCGTGTGCATGTGTGGAGAGAGAGAGAGAGAGAGAGAGAGAGAGAGTTACTGGTAAAACTAGCCTAAGGTGGCCCACTTTGGTTTTCAATAACTACTTTGGCAAATATCAACCAAAGCTCATCCATTATATTAATCACACTTTGCATCACTGTGACCACCACCTGACAGAAACAACTTCCAGAAGGAATTGATTTGGCTCGTGGTGCCATAGGGTCCATCCAGAGTCACTCGGCCCTTTGTGCTCAGGCAGAACACCATGGCGATGGGACCATGTGGCAGATGAAAACTCTTCACAGCAGACAGGAAGCAGAGCTGGGTTTACAAGAAAGGGCAGGGCAAGATTTAACCCCAAGGATGACCCCCAGTGACCTACTTCCTGTAGGTAGGCCCCACCTCCTGCCTCTCCCCAGCTCCCAGTAACTCCATCATATTACAGATGCATCGGGGATTCCACTGATGAGGTCGGAGCCCTCAGTATGCAATCACTTCCCCAAAGCAGTTGGTAACCAAACCCCCAGTACATGAGGCTTAGGGAGACACTTCATATTCAAGCCATGACACCCATCAAAGACTGCAAAGGATATTAATTTTGACTTTTGTCAGTTTGCAATTACTACAGAAAATGCAAAACTAAGACTCACATGAAAGTCTGTGAATCTACTCCAATGAATTCAGAGGCTCACCTGAACCGTAAGACATGCACCACATTCTCATTTGTGTTTTGTCCCCTAATTCTACAGGGGGCGTTGCAGGACAGCACCTTTCTGAGCACCCTGATATCCGCAAACTCGGTTTCACTGGCTCCACTGCTATTGGCAAACAGATCATGAAGAGGTACTGACTTTAGTATGTCTGCCTGCTAAAGATCCCATTAAACCAGAGTGCTTTTGGAGTGAGCAAAACCACATTCAATGTAGAAGAGCAATCTACTTTATCACTGCAGGATGCTGTGATGTCTGAGTGCAGTGAAAGACTTTCCAGAGCTTTCAGGCCCACAGTTAACAAAACCAGAGCTACACTGAAATTCTGCCCCTGACTGGTAGCTCTCATAATCCAGCCCAAGAAATGTTCTGTGCTAAAGCTGAGGCCCAAACTTTTTGGATTATAAGTCAGAAATTGAAAAGCAATACAATAACAAATTTATACATTAAATATGGCAAATCTGGACTGGGTATAGAATGGATTCTCAGGACATAGTATTAACACTAGTTTTTAAAAAATTGCTAATCATCTCAATATCCAGAGAGACAAAGTATGTCAGCATAACAGAACGCTGTAGTAGGTGGATGGAGAATTTTTTAATTACATTGAAAATTGTTAAGATGATCATTTGAAAGAAAAATAAGGCATAAGCTTATATGTATTAGGTGGTCCCAACTCTGTTAAATGAGGTAGGGTGTGGTGGCACACTCTTATAATCCCAGCACTCAGGAGGCTGAGACAGGAGGATCTCAAGTTCAAGACCATCATGAGGCTCTATCTCAAAAACGCAAAACAAAAACAAAACCCGCAAGAAACAAATAAAAAAGGTAAAAGCCATCACCGGACGGACCAGAGGTAAGTATATTAAAATGGGAAAAATAATCCAATGGTCATTGAGTCTTGGAAGGAATTTTGTAGGGTTTTTTTTCTTCTGTCTACAATTCTGTCTGCATGTTTTAAATAAGAATACTTATGAGGGCTGGGGGTGTAGCTTAGTGGTAGAGCAATTGCCTGACATACACAAGGCGTGGCTTTGGTCCCCATCAACATAATTACATAATGTATAAACTTGTCATACATCACTTTTCAAAGGGACTGGCCTAGCAAGCACAAGGCTCTGAGTTCAAACCCCTGTATGGCAACAAACAAACAAACAAACAAAAACCCAAAGGTATAAGATGGGAGAAATAGTTGGGTATTTCATTCCTGTAATCCCAGCTACTAGGGAGGTGGGGATCAGGAGGATCTCAGTTTGAGGCCAGCCAAGGCAAAACCTTAGCAAGACCCCATCTCAGCGTAAGCCCAGCATGGTCTCATGCTGTTGTAATCCTGGCTATGCAGAAGGCTATGTGTAGGAGGATCAAAGTCTTAGGCACACTCGGCAAAAATTCAAGACTCTACCTGAAAAATAACTAAAGTCAAAAAGGGCTGGGGGTGTGGTTTAAGTGGTAGTGTCTGTCTACTTAGCAAGCTTGAAGCCCTGAGTTCAAACCCCAGTAACCAAAAAAAAAAAAGGAGAAATAAGCAACTTACTTGTAAAATTTGAACCCCCCCCCACAATGTTGTAGTACTCTGTTCTAAGTTGAATTTTCTTGGCAGGCCTTTGTGTAACTCAAATTCTTAAAGAATGTGACTTACCTATGAGAATCTCTAATCCTTTGGCCTCAGAATTTTAAAAACCTTTATTATGGAAAATTTCTAACATAAACAAAAAGCTCCAGAAAAAGGACAATGTGCTCACCACCCAGCTTCAATGGTAATCATCACTCTATCATTCAAAGTTTGTCTTTGAGTTTTTTTTTTTCTTTTTCTTTTCTATTTTGTTTTGTTTTGTTTTTGAGATAAGCTTTCACATGCACCACCGTGCCTGACTGAAGAATTTTTTTTGGTGGTACTGGGGTTTGAACTCAGGACCTCATGCTTGCTAGGCAGGTGCTCTACCACTTGAGCCACTCTGCCAGCTCTAAACAAGTTCCTTACCATTCCTGAGGCTCAATTTTATTTTCCATGCAAACTGGTAACTTACGGTTTAAAAAACAGAAGAGAAAGAGGGAGGGATGGAGGCGGGGAGAAGCAACAACTAAATGCTCCTTTCCCATTCATTTTCCTTCAGCTGTGCTGTGAGCAACTTGAAGAAAGTCTCCCTTGAGCTTGGCGGCAAGTCCCCACTTATAATATTCAATGACTGTGAACTTGACAAGGCTGTGCGAATGGTAAGAGTGGGTCCGTGGCGCCTGCTTCTAAGTCACGATTCATCTCATTATTGCAGTCTTAAAATGAGATTTGGTTTTGTGTAGCCATAAATAGAAGCTATATTTTTTTTTATTCTAAGAGCACTTAATTTTAAAAAATATTTTTTGAGGGCCTTCATGTCAAAGAGTTTGGCAAACTTCTTAAAAATGATCATTTCTGGCAGAGGGCTATGACATAAAGGGACGTGCCCTTTATATGAGGTTGGGGAGCAGTTGAGCTGGCCTTTTCCCTACTGCCCCCAGGGGGCACTAGCCATGATGAGCTGTGCTCTGACATTACAAGATCCAGGAAATGGCAAACCAGCTGTGCCTAAAGGTGGTGGGCAAGATGGCAAGACTGAGGGCAACACTGCTGTCTCGCTCACTAGTGGAAAGGTCCCGCTGAGGACCCTGGGGCGAAGGTACTTAGTAATCACTGGTGTTGACATCACTTCCAGGAAACAGTTCACAAAAGAAGCCTACAGGAAGGTGAATATAGTGCAAATACTGTGTACGCACGTATGTAAATGGAGAAACGAGACCTGTTGAAACTATTCCAGGAATTCCTGCTGCTGAAATAGGATAAAGGAGAGTGATGGAGGGGGTGAATTCAAGGGTGATATATTGTAAGAACTTTTGTAAATGCCACAATGTACCCCCAGCACAACAACAAAAAATATCACAGAACAAAACAAACAAACCAAAAAGAAGCACCTCAAGAATTGTAGAAAATCATCCCAAGGCAGCTTGAAGAACAAAGATCAGAAAGAGTAAAACCTTTCATTATAGGGGTTGTAGAACAAAGCAAGCAAGCCCTTGCTAATTTCAATAACTATGAGGCTTTTGTTGATGAAAACATGAATCCAGATGGCATGGCTGCCCTCCTGGACTACCGTGAGAATGGTGACCCCATGTATGGTTTTTTTAAGGAGGTTTAGAGATGGGAAGATGTCATGTAATTAATTGATCAATTACTTGGATCTATCAGCTGTCATCCTAACTGGCAGTGCCTGTCATCCGCACAACACTAGGACTTAAGACAAATGGAACTGAAGTCATCTTGAACTCTTCATTTATTTTGACTGTGATTTATTTGGAGTGGTAGCATTGTTTTTTAAGAAAAAAAATGTCGTGTAGGTTGTCTAAAAATAGAGTATTTAAACTCACACACAAAAACAAGATTTTCCTTTTATGAAGGGTAAGAGAGGCTTTCTAAACATTTGTAGTTTATATGAACTGATGTAGAGATTTTAAAACAAAAAATATACAAGTATTACATTTAGATTTGTAGAATAACCAATGTTTTCTTGCAACACAAAATTTGCTTTGAGGTATATTCTTATTGTTACACATATTTTTTTTCCATGTGTTCATGGGCCACAACCAGGCTAAGTCAAAACTGAGTTCTTCCCAACAACTCTCTTCACTAGCAAGTCCAAGAGGATTGTCCATGACTTCTCTGTGCTGTCTGCAGCCTTCCAATAACCCCTCATTCCTCTGTGTACAATTTTATGGTGCTTTTGACTGATCAAGAGATGTTAACACAACTTTCTCTCCTGCCAAAGGGCATGGGCGCAGTGTTTTTCAACAAAGGAGAGAACTGTATTGCAGCTGGGCGATTGTTTGTGGAAGAATCCATCCACGATGAGTTTGTGACAAGAGTGGTAAGGCAATTTCAAATGTGCTTCATGAGTTGTGCAGAAATAGCTTTTACTTGGAAAGTACAGGATTATTCACGACTGTTTAGGAGTGATGGCAGTGTGGTGGTCCTGTCTGGCAGTATAGCTGAGTGGTAGAAAGAGGCTTAGAACACACAAGGCCCTGGGTTCAATCCCCAGCACCAAGAAAGAAAAAAAAACAGTTACTTTTTACAGCTACATCCTGACATATTCACAGACTAAAGTATATGATGTCTGGGATTTGCATCAAAATAACCTGGGAGAAGAGGAAGTGGCCAGGAGTGAATAGTTGTTGGTGCCAGGTGGTGGGTGTGCATGGGCCTTCATTGTATGACTTGTCTACCTTCATATGTGTTTATCATTTTGCATAATAATATTACAGGTCTCTATAAAAATTAATAAGAGTCTGCTCTCATTTGAAGTATATTAGAACCTTGACACTTGTGAGAGATATACTCCTAGATTTTTTGCAAACTCCTAAACTGACGATGAGAGGTACACCACTTGATCCTTATACATCTGTAATTTGCAGTTAGCCAATAGCATATAATTTCTTCCACTAAAATGACAAATAAATAGCCCCTATAGATTGACATTAATCCACAAATGTGGAACTAAAAGTCATTTATAGGTAGACTTGTTAAGGTGAACTCTGGAGTTAAACTCTTAATTATGCTATTTATGTCATTATGAAGGTAATTTATATCCATGAACTTGGTTGTATTTACAAAACCAGCACCTGGCTCCTCCACCCACCATCTGAGCCAATTTCCTACACCCATCCCACCAGAAAAGCAAAGGTATCACTTCTTCATGACAAGAAGTCAGACAGCAAGGGAGATGGGGAGTCAGGTGGGCAGCTGCTGCCTCCTAGACATCACCGTATTTCAGTTTGTGTCTCAGTAGAATCCAATTTGCAGCACTATGTGTCATGGGCTGTCAGCGACAGCTACAACTTGATGAAATTTCAAATGCTGAGATCACGGACTTCAAGGACTTGCTTTATCATTCCATCAACAAATACGTTTTACACACATGTTCTTTGTACTCATCTAACAGCTATTTCTTGAGCACCTACCTAACACCCAACACTGCAGAGGGAATACAAGAGGAAAAAGGCAGACGTGGTCCCTGTCCTCTCAGAGCTTCTCATCCAGTGCAGGACCCCATGCAAGCATAGAGATTATTGCCAGACCTATTTCCAAATTCACTTCCCTGCATGGCCATACTAACTTCCACTGTTTCTTCTCACTGAAAATGCCTCAGAAAACACAGATACAGGTTAAGACAACCGAGGAGCACAAGGAATGATTACTGAGACATGTCAGTGTTGGACACGGTATGACAAAGATTGTTTTTCATTAGAATATTCTAGCAATCCCTTTGGCATGGCTAAACCACAAAAATTTTACAAGGGCAGTCTGTCATTTTACATTTGAGGTAGGGGGAAAATAATGGTGTACCCGTTGTAGAAATTCTTTTGCCATGAAGACTGTAAGTATGTTACATTAATGAAAATTCCAGAACATCAGCTTGCTGTTTTAGTGAACTAACATTAGGATAATTTTAATATAGTTTATGTAGCTTATATTCTATTAGAAATAGTGGTTGAAAACTTGAGCCAGGGCTTTGAAACCACAGTGTGTGCTTTACCTCTTTAAGGTCTCCAGGTTTTTTTTTTTATAAGATGGAAATAACAATTAACTATATCTAGCACTGCTGTGAAGATCAAATGACCAACACATCTATAAACAGCTTAGTACCACACCAGCACATGGTAGAAACTCCATCAAGGGTCCCCATCTTTATATTAACACTGAATTGTGTTTTGTGGACTGGGTAATATACAGGTTGAAGAAATTAAAAAGATGAAAATCGGTGATCCACTTGACAGATCTACTGACCATGGGCCCCAAAACCATAAGGCCCACCTGGAAAAACTGCTGCAATACTGTGACACTGGAGTGAAGGAAGGGGCCACTTTGGTGTATGGGGGACGACAAGTCCAAAGGCCAGGTAAGAGCATCTCCCTAGGCAGCTTATGGGGCACCTGTCTTCTTAAGTTGGAATTTTCATCTTACCACCATCTTACTGCAAAAGTAAATAGTGACACTTCTAATATGGTCAGGATAAGTCTCTACATCTGGCTTGACTACTTATAAGCTGTGGCACATTGGCTGATACAATTTTCTTGAGTCTTAGTTTCCCCCTAGATAAAATGAGGTGAAATGTGCACAGCCTGCTTTACAAGGTTGTGAAAATGACAAAAACGAATGAGAAGGCCCTTCTCTGTCCATTAACAAGGTAATGAACGGTGTCATCGGGCACTTGTGATCCAGGTTCTTCGCACTTTGAGATTTAATCTTGACCAACAGAGCCTGGGAAGGATTTGTTCCTGTGGTGTAAGGCAGGACCTGTTATTAAAATGTGTGCATGGTTCCATGCTACCATTCTCAAGAGCAGAGGCAAGCAACTAATCATTTTTAACTGCCACAGGCAAATTGTACACCATTACCTTACTCTAAACATGGACAATTACAAGAAAAAATTGAATATTTGCCCTGGCTTCCTATATGAACTCAATTTCTAGGTAACTGAGTAGGAGACTTTTATGAAAAACTGTCCCTGCAAATGAATGTTAAAAAAAAAAGTGACAAGAGTAGAAAAATCTCTACTCTGCCTCTCTCTAATAGATGAAGTGATTGATTCAGGAAGTGACTGTCTATGGAGGGTGAAGTTGTTAGTGAAGGTTGAGAGGGACCTGGCGTTTGCAAGGTACCCAGATATTCACACTGAGATTGCTCACAGGTCATGAACTGAAAAACACAACTTTACAAAGCAGGGCTCAGGTTGCTACTACCTGAGGCCACTGGTCAAGCGAGCATCAGAGAAGGTGGGACAACTGGATAGCATGCCTTTCTTGTTGGAATACAATGTGTGATACACAATCTCTCCCGTGAAGTGTTCTTGCCAAAAAAAAAAAAATATATATATATATATATATAAAACCTGAATATAATCACACCATTAGGTCAAACTTTTAATTTACAAGGAAGGATAGGATTGTTATTTAATAGGTGCAGAGTTTTGGTTTTACTAGCCAAAAGAGTTCTGGAAATAGATAAAGGTTGCATGACATTATGAATGTATTCAGTAACACTACACTGTGCACTTAAAAATGGTGCAGATGGAGCACTCGGGAGGCTGAGGCAGGAGAATGGCAAGTTCAAGTCCAGCATAGGCTACACAGCAAGATCCTATCTCTAAATAAATAGAATGGTTAAGATGGTAAATTTTTATGTTCTGTGTATTTTACCACAATAAAATAAAATAATATATGGCATAGAGAAGCACATATCACCCCAATGAAGCAATGGCAAATTTAAAATCTAAGACATTCTACAGGGCAATCGACCCCATGTCCTCAACAGGTCAACAGAATAAAAAAGCAAGGGGAGGGCACAGAGAGGCTATTCAGATTTAAAGACACGTAAGAAATCTAACAGCCAAATGCAATGTGTAGAACTTCTTTGAATACAAATCATATAAATTAGTTGTACAAAAAGATATTTTCCAACAAGAGAAAGTGAAATATAAACTATGAATAAAAATGAGCATTGGGGCTGGTGGAGGGGCTCAAGTGGTAGAGCGCCTGCCTAGCAAGTGTGAGACCCTGAGTTCAAACTTCAGTACCGCCAAAAAACAAAAAAGAGCATTAACTTTATTAGCTATGGTATTGACGTTGTGCTGTAATTACTTTTTTTTTGATTTGTCCTGAAATAGTGTAAATGTTGTACTTGGATCTTGCTTTAAGATATTTCAGCAAGTAAAAAATAAATCGAATACAGCAAAATATGTTTATTTTACTATTTATTACTGCTTTTACATGTATTTGAAATTTCCATAATAAAGGTTAAAAAATAAGAACATAGGAATGCCAACACCAAAATGGAGACATGAAACTCTTCTAGGTTTTATTAAATCAAAGGGAAGAAAACTGTAATTAACTGGGAGAATTATTCATTGAAAATGATTTAACCTATAATTCTTTTCTTTTTTCCAAAAAGGCTTTTTTATGGAGCCAACTGTGTTCACAGATGTGGAAGACCACATGTACCTTGCCAAAGAGGAATCCTTTGGGCCTATTATGGTCATTTCTAAATTCCAAAATGGGTATGTTCTTCAGGCATGATTGAACTTGGGTTCTGACTGGATAACTTTCCCGTTCTGCCATTCTGCTGAATACAGAGCATGAAATCAATGCACATGCAATTCTTTACCCTAAAATAATTACCTTAGTTAAATCATTAGATGCATCTGTTTCTAATTAATTAGTGCTAACCACTGCAGTCTATGACATATTTTTGCTTCTCAGCTTACATTAATGACTGACATGATGGGATTTTAGCTGATTGGATTTTAGTTTTTATATTGTAGACATCTGAAATGCCTATGGAACAAGGTAAGTATCAGAAATAACAAACCAGTGTTCACATGTATATTCCTGGTGGTGGTGCGGGGGCGTGTAGGAAATCTGATCTTCCCAAAGAAAAAGGGCTGCTGTCATAGGGGATTATGTCACAGTAGCCTGCTACTTAGTTTTTCATAGAAATTTCCACAATCACCATATTCCGTTTGTAAATGATATGCTGTTTGATAGAGTACATGAAACTCTCCAAAGCGTTTGGCCTATCAAATGGAACCATGTACCACTGAACTCTAGGACCATGCTGAGTACAATGGAGTCTCTCCGCACAGTGCACAGAATTCTTTAGAACTGCTCTAGGTTTACTTCAGCCAATGTGAAGCTGGAAAATAAATGGATGGAATTCAGAAAGACTTCTTACTTGTTCATAGACTCACTGAGAGATTTCTGAAGACACCAAGCTATGAAGAGTAACCTTTTGATATGCTAATCCAAGGATGCCTGTTACCCCTTTCGTCTCACAAATTCCCTAGAGGATAGACTTGGCATTAAACATGCACAGTAACGGCTGGGTTTGGAGGATCTAAACATGGATAAGTCCCTGTCCTCCGGGAGCTTACCGTCTAATGGGGGAGGTCACCACAGGCAAGATAGATTGGGATGATGGTATGCGCTCTGCTGCCTCACCTTCCTACCTCTGTGGTTATTTAACCACTCTGGGCCCCAGTTAAAAAATTGGATTAATAATAGTGTCTTGGGTCATTCTGATAAGTAAGTCAAGTATTTGCTGTTGCTGTGGTCACGGTTATGCTTACTGCTATTCTGGAAGGAAGCATGCCATGGACAAAGTACGACATTTCGGTAGTCCGCAATGATAAATGGCATAAAGTCGTCTTTCTGCCCCTGGTCCAGTCTATAAACATGTGAATCACTGTCCTGTGCAGTGCATCATGAAATAGGAGAGTTTTAGGAGTCTCAGTTCTCTTCAAGTTAGGTTCCAAATTCCATGTGCAAGTCTGAAATTATGTATACAGTTAAGATGACTTTGAAAATTCCTAGGGAGGGCACTGTGTTGCAGCCTGTCTTGCCTCTCGATAAATGCAGCACAATAAATTTTCCTCCAGTTCTGGAACAGATTTTCTTTGCTGGAACATCATGAAATGGGTGGCTTGCGGTTACTGGCCAGGTCATAGAAAGGCGTGCATTTTGAAGCAGTAGGATCTCATTCAAAAGGGGGAGCTACACTATGCAGGCACACCGGACTCGATGTGGACTTGGCTGAAAGAAGAGGTCACGCCTTCTCTTACTTGGGAGTATCTGTACCATGGGCCTCCTTACCCAAGACTTCCACATCAGCAATGCAACCAGATTGAGAACACTTTTTAAAAATTTCATCTGAAGTGAACATGTACAATTCTTGTCATTATTCCCTATTTACATAGCCTTTGCTCTGTATTAAGTATTGTAAGCAATCAAGAGGATGTGTGTAGGTTAAGTGTAAACACCATGCCGTTTTATGTAAGGCACTTGAGCATAAACAGATTTTGGTACCTGAGAGGTTCCTGGAACCAATCTTCCTCCGATACTGAAGAACTGTGTACTTGAGTAAAAAGCAGGGAAATTACCTCTTTACAGGACCCCCTTACTCTCTCTCATTGAATGAGCATATGTAACTGAATTCACTCTCATTTGATGAAGTGACACCACAGAATCAAGAAAGATAAGGCGTTATCCTTGCTCTTCCGGAGTGCCCGTTCTCCTTTACAGAGCGTGAACCATAAATACATGAAGAGTTAAATCAGCACTACATAAATTTGTCCCTACCAAAGCTGAGTTTGGATGGTATGTGTTCCAGGCACTAGTAGCTCGTCTCCTCCTCCTCCTCCTACACAAGTCCTTTTACTGTTATTTCCATTTTTCACAAGAATAAAGGAAAGCATGGGGTGATGAGGTTCACTCAGGCAGTCTGGCTGCAGAGCCTTCTCACCAAGCAGGCACACTCTGCCAGCTACACTGTGGGACTGGTGAGAGGCCCTGAATGAGCACTGAACTGTGTGCACAGGATCTGAAGAAGGATGCTCTGAAAATGGAGAAGAATGGATGATAACCACTGAAGTGGCCAGAAAAGATGACTGTGGATCCGATTTTGAAAAGTCATTGCATGGCTTATATGGAAAACATAATAGAGTTGCAATATTTTACTGGGGCTTTCTTTCTGTATAAACCTGGAATGTTTCATTTATAAAATGTAAGCAGGTGGCAGCAAAGTTTTCCTGTTTCTCAAATTGAGGGGAAAAGGTTTAGAGCATAAAATGAGAATGTTTTGCTTTCCATTTAATGGAGTTTTATGTCTTCCTGAAAACACAGGGACATCGATGGAGTGTTGCAGCGAGCTAACAATACAGAGTATGGTTTGGCCTCAGGGGTTTTCACAAGAGACATAAACAAAGCTATGTATGTGAGTGAAAAACTAGAAGCAGGAACTGTTTTCATCAACACATACAACAAGACAGATGTGGCAGCACCATTTGGTGGAATAAAACAATCAGGCTTTGGAAAAGACTTGGGTATGTATGGCCTTATTTTTCTCTTCGCATCCTTGCTGTTGCCACGTCACAGAAGAACTTGTTCTGTGTCATACAACGCTTACATTTTATTTTAAAGGGCATTTCCTAAAGGGCAGTTAGAGCTGGGTTTGACAAGGGGACTGATTTTCTAAAAACTGTTAAACATTTTCATTATACACACAGGAAAATTATACCAATTGTGGGGAAAGGTGTTTCTTTTCAAAAGAAGGAGATTAATTCTGAAAGGAAAAAGAAACTCTGATAACGTATTTTAACTAAAATGTGTTTTTGTCTTTATCTGACATTCAACATGAACTTGGCTTCTTTTTTTTTTTTTTTTTTTTTGCGTTACTGGGGTTTGAACTCAGGGCCTACACTTGAGGCACTCCATCAGCCCTTTTATGTGAAGGGTTTTTTTGAGATAGGGTCTTGTGAACTATTGGACAGGGGCTGGCTTCGAACCCTGATTCTCCTAATTTCTGCTTCCTAAGTAGCTAGGATTACAGGTGTGAGCCAGTGTCTCCTGGCTTTTTTTTTTTTTAAGACAGGGTTTTTCCATTTAGTGAAGGTGTGCAAGTTGGCCTGGACACCTGCCTCAGCCTCCTGGGTTCTGGGACTACAGGCCTAGTCCCACCACACCCAGCTGGATTTAGCTTTTGTCTTGTTTTTTGGTGGTTTAAGGGTATGACTCAGGGCTTTGTGCTTACCAGGCATGCACTCTACCACTTGAGTTGGGTTTAGCTTTTGTGGGACTAAATGGAACTAAGAAAATAAAATGAGTAGAGGGCAGTAGAAGCTCTGAAAATGAACCCTGGCTCTGAGCTGCTTGGCAGTCTTCAGAGTCAGCGCTGCAAGGGGCAGAAATTGTTGGGAGCCTGGGAACTTAGATTTATAGTTTGTAAAAAGACTAGAATGTAATTCACTGTAGCAGTGGCACTAACACCTTTCAAGCAATAGCTCTGTGTCAAGTTCTATTCTCAGCACTTTACCTGTCTGAGCACAATTGTCATGACAGCTCTAGGAGACAGGCACAATCCCAGAGTCACACAGGCACTGGCAGAGAGAATTCAAAGCCAGGCAGTCTGGCTATGGAGCCCACCTCTTATTCTCTACAGTCCTGTTTCAATATATGAAGTGTTTGAGATTGGGATTTATTTTACATTTTCTCTTTCCTGATGATTTTTGGCAATGTATTTATAGTAATAAATATATTGGTTCTCTTCCCTGGATCTAAACAAAGCACACTGAAGGCTCTTGCAGAGAATTTTTATTACAAAGTGAGGCAACCATTTCCACTTGTGTTTTCATGGTGTAATTGACAGCTTAAAATGCCGTTTGCCCAGTAGTCTCTTCTCTCCAAATTTTGAAACTATTTCGTGTAGTAGTTCTTAACCCTAGCTGCACCTTGGATTAGAATCACCTGGGAGCTTAAAAAAAATACTGATCAATTGCTCGGGGTATGAGCTGGGAGTTTACAAAGATCCTTGGTGACTCTAATGTGGGGACAAAGTTGACAGCCCTCCTTCTAGCTCAGCTTCCAGAATCCCAGGCTCATTCATTTCACAGTATTTGCTACCTTTAACTACTGAAGGGATCAGCGATTGTACCAGCTCAAAACAGATGCAAGTGAAGAAGGCAGACTGATTTGCTTTTTGCTTTGTCATGCTCTTCCATCTCTAATATGCAATATAAGCTGTCTTTTTCTTATCTTTAAATTATTAAACCCAAAGTATCTAAATTTTCTTTCCTGTGCTCAACTGTTCTTCCTTTAATGTAATCTAAAGGATGGTAACTGGTCACTTCCATTCAAAAGACAAAGCCGGAATTCATTAAGCAAGGAAATAAAGGAGGAAGGCTTTGGGTTGAAGTTGATTAGCCAGTGCTCTCTGATCCCTGGAAGGCTTCACTGCACAACTAAGCCCTCTCTACTCAAAGTGTGCCAGTCACAGGAGAACAGTTAGGAACTCAGAACCTCAGAGCTTTCCCTGGACTCCAGTGAATCAGAACCTACAATTGAGCATAGCCCCCAGGTGATCTGTATGAACTTTAACATAGGAGAACCAATGGCCTAGGCCACATTCCAGGTACTCTGTGACCTACATCTGTGTCCCAAGGTCTGGTGATATCATGTCACCTTTGAATATGGAACATCAACTGCTTTTCTCTCCCTAGGTGAGGAAGCTCTCAACGAGTATCTCAAAACCAAGACTGTGACACTGGAGTATTAGAGCAATGCCATCACCAGGAAACCCTTGGCAGAGAGCATGACTTCTCAACTCTATATACTGAAGAAACCCGGATGTGCTGACGAAAGGGGAACCAGCCATGAGCCAAAAAATACACACCTGGACCAAGAAGAGGGTCAGGCCACTTGTCTGAGCATTTACACATGTGCCTGAATATTTATTTTCTAATGCACCTTTTGTACCTTAAAATGATTTGCATTTGATGGGTTTTGAGTACATTTGATATCATACACATTTGTAAAACACCAACGTGCTTTTTCCCTAGCAAGACTCATCTATTCATGGTCATCCACTGTGAAAACATCCGTATCATGCAGCTGCAATGACAAGGTGCCCTGGAATCTCTGTATATGTACAGGCTTTAACCTCTGAACCATACATGTGGATTATTGAAAGATTTTCTATAATTTTGCTTTTAAGAAATTATGCATCCTATAAGGAATGTGAAGGTAGTTCTGTTCTTTTCATGTTTGGAATAAGATACATCTTTGTGCCTTTGATGTTCCCTTTTTTTAACACACTGTGATGGGTGACCAGCCCACAAACATGTCTTGAATTATCTACCCACTAGGTACAAGGTACTATACTATGTTCTGAGGAGCATACAAAACTTAATGACATGGCAGTTGGCCTCACATAGCTTGAATTCTAGTAAGCAGCTTTTAAAGGGAAATTTACAATGAGATAGACTAGAAAATACGTATACCTTGATGGCTGAACTTGGTTCATATCATACCACTTCCTATGTGTGACTTTGGGAAACATGCAACTTCTCTGAGCCTCAGCTTCCTTGCATGTAAAACAGGGCTCAAGATGGTTGCTCAGGTTTTTATTAAAAAGATTCAATGCAATAATATAAGAAGAGTGCCTCCCCTTGTGCATCACTCATGGCAAATACTCAAGTTTAACTCTCTTCCTCCACCACTACTTTAAAAATATACTGATCTGTTAATTGACTAGATGAATTGACTCCTCACAACTCTCTTAGATTACTTTTCTCACCCATTGTTCTAACACAGTGCTTGATATAGCAGAACATGCCTTGTCACTTTCTTAGTGACAAGGGCACTAAGAAAAGGGTCACCTTTTCTCAGCAGCTTACCTAATGTCCTTCACAGGATCACTTACTTTCCATTTTCCTACCAACTGTTCTGCTACTCACTAGCTGTGTGATGCTGGGCAAGCTAGTTACCTAATATCTCTGAGTCCAGGTTTGGTGTCTATAACATAGAGATAAAATCCCAATCTCATTGGGTGCTACAATGAGAAAATGAATATAATGCTTTTAACAAGATGTTTGGCTCATACTCAGAACTCAAGAAGTGGCAGTATTAGCCACCTCTGCAGTACTTTCATGATTTCCCATTGTGAAATGAAAGTAGGTAGGTAGGTAAGTCTATTACCATTGACATGTGATTACAAGAAGCTGTTTCCTGAATCATGTAAGTCTCCAGGAGATGGCCAGAACAATCAACTCGTATTAATCCTTTTTGAGGTAAAATTTCAGTGAGCTGTATTTCTTTGACTTTGAAGACAGCTCCCAAGGAGTACTTACTTACTACTTTGGAGACTAGATGAAGGGAATGTAGGGAATCAATAAGCCGCAAAGACAAAATCAGAGGCAGAAAACACTTTCAAAGGAAAGAATACCAGGTTTGATCCTGGCTTGATTAACAGAGCAAATCTTGCCTTACAAGCATTTTTTTATTATAATTCAGCCCATGATAATATCAGGAATATTCACTGGGTCCAAAATGGCAGTGCATACTTGAACAAAACGACAAAGGCCTTGTTAAGTAACCACTTTTATTTATTTGGTAAACAGTTTGTAGTTTCTAAAATAGATTTTTTTATGACATGCAATACTTAAGGCAGCATTTTCTTTACTAAAAAATAAAAATCCTTTCCTTGTACTTACCAAGAAACTTTTTGCTACAAATAGGCTAAGAAAGCCTGTGTCTTTCGCTAACAGCTGCTGCCTTTCCCTAACAGCTGCTGCCTTTCCTGTCTGGTCAGTCTTTGACTTGTCTAAATGCTGATGTAGACTTCTGTTAGACAAGGAATTCTTATCCTTTGGTCCTTTTTTTATCTCTACTACCACCACCTTTTGAAGATGTGTGATGTCTTTCTAGTCCTGAAGTATCCCTTGGCTTGTGATCCACACTCGACCCTACTCTGACTTCTCTCATTCAACTAGTGCTGCTGCTAGCACTTGTACTGGAGTACTGGAGCTGCTTCCACTGCTGCCTACATAACCACTACTCAATGAAGTGTTTGAACTCATTCCATATGATTTAGGATATTAATACTGGAGTGTTGGTCCCAACTTCATGTCCTGGCGTAGTTGACAATTGAAGATGCCAGACCAGGAGTTAGGAGTAAAGTAAGCACAAAGTCTATTGAAAGGATAGCAAAGTACCCTAACGGGTAGGACTCAGTAAAAGAGCTAAGCCAAACAATGGCTGAAGTCTAGGAGCTGATACAGGGCTCGGCCTGACTTAGGCACTCCCTACTCTACTGTGAAGCTGCATCTATAAATTGTACTATCAATAAGTAGTCTAATTGACTACTTATTGAACTTTACCATCTGGCTGCCTGCCCCTCATCCTTATCAGATTGCACATTCCAGAAGGATCTTGCCTTATCAGTAGGGACATTCCAGTCTGTTAATCTATCCTGTCCTTGAGACCTGCCATATACATTTTATAACTACTGTTCATTATTTTGGTGATACCCATTTTTGTTTACCTTGGGAAAGTTTGCTGGGTTATCTTCCTTAATGAGTCTATATTTCATCTCTTTAGATGTCTGTCTTTAAGAATGCTTGTCTCCCTTATCTAGGAGAAAGACCGCTGCACTTTATTATCTGGGTGAGAAGCCCACTCCTCACATCTCCTTAGATGTTTGCTTTTAAGGATGGCTTCCCATCTCTTTTATCTAAGACGAAGTTATTTCTGCCATCTGTTCCCTTTACATTCATTCCCTGGTTCATTTCTGGCATTAATTCCCCCTCATGTTTGCTCTCCTCATAATATCACTCTATCACATTACTTTAATAACAAAATGACAGATAAAAACATGCCTGATCTGGATTGATTTCATTTTACCCTGTAATTAACATTAATTTCAGTGGCAGTGTTATTAATCCAAACTTCCTTGAGAATGCGAAAAAAGCTATGGACCCCTTTTGTCCCACTGTCCCCAAATCCATGTGCATAGACATCATTCTGCAAATGGCTACAAGGGAGTCACGGACCTCCCAGAGGCCATGTGGGGCCCAGATTAAGAACTTATTTCTCCACAGCAAGTTCTAAAAAGTTCTCACTAGCCAGAGCTTCTATATCTGACTACTGATCAGTCAAAGGTTCAAGGAATTCTTAAAATTATTAAGAGAATTTGAATGGAAACAGCCTGTTAGTTGGTTTAATTAAGAGTCATTAAACCATCACTGTTCCTTCAGATCACTGATTATTTTTGCTAGGCTAAGGGATAAAACTGTGATCCAATGCTGCTAAACTGGGGAGGTATGAGTACCATGACCACTTCTTTCTTTGTAACTTCCCATCTGTGTGCCTTGAAAAGCAGTTCCCTTGGCTCAAACTCCCTTCTGGGCCTTTCCTATCCCTAGCAGAGCTAAGCATCTCTTCTCTAGGCTCCCTTTGTCTACAGCATAGTTCTTACCACCTGGTACTGAAGATATCTCCTGCTTAACTAGATATGAATATCCCCTCCCCATCCCCAGGGTTGGCATTCTGTCAAAAATACAACAGCTGTTGTTTCTTGAGGGCCTCCTATGTGCCAGACACTATGCTAAGCACTTTTTAAATGATCTTATTTAATCTTAACATATCTTTAAAAAAATGAATAAACTGAAGTGCTCCTCTCACTGCCCCCACCATTACCAAGCCATCAGTGTCTCTTTCAGCTATGGCCCAAGCCTCCCACTAGGCTTCCTTATTCCTCCCTTGTATGATCCTGTTCAAAGCCTAAGTGAGATGCTGTCATTGTTCTGCTCAAAACCCTCTGATGGCACACATTTTGCTTAGAATAAAGCCTAGCTTATTTACTATACCCTGTCAACTCTGCTCCTGGCTGCTCCTGACCTCATCTCTAGCCATTTCCTTCTCTTCAGTGCTAGCCATCCAGGTTGCCCTGATGCTCCTCAAACAGATCACACATGCTCCTGCCTCAGTGTGGTTGTACTTACGATTCCCTTCTTCCACAGGTGTGCTGGTGAAAGTCTAACAGATGGCTCTCTTGGGGGAAAACGTGATTTGTAGCATATGCAGGTATCTGTGTGTAAATAGTCCCTTTAAGGCTGTTTTCAGGCTACCAATTAAGTCCTCTGAAGAGGGAGTTTGGAAGAAATGCAAGCAATCAGCAAATGCAAGCCAGCACTGGCACACCACTGCCTCTTCCTGAAGCTTTCTTCTCCACATGTAAATTTACAGCTGACTGTCTCACTTCTTTCAGGTCTCCCCTCAAATACCTTATTATGGACACATTCCCTGACTACTTTTAAAAACAATACCTATGCATCTACTGGTCATTCTTTATTGCCCATATCCTGCATTACTCTCCCAGCACTTAGCACAGCCTGGTACACACTTATCATCACTGTGTCTCCATTAGCATGCAAGCATGGTGAACAGGTGCTTGTGTGTGCAGTACTGGATCTCCTGTGCCTAATGCTGACAGAGCTCAATAAATACATGCTTTCCAATGGTGAGTTTAAGTAACCTGCCCAAACCACACAGGTATTCAGTATTCAAGCAATGAGGCTGGCGGTCTTAACCAAGCTGAGAGAGCTTTTATTCCCAATCCCTAACCAGGGCCTGGATAGTGAATAGCAAGTAGGCACACACTAAATATTTCCCAAATAAACAAAACAAAATATCCTACAATGGATATTGTTTGCAAGAACTTCTGTGGAGGTAGCTATAGCCAGGGTGAGGAACCCCATTTGGTTCTCCATACCTGAGCTCTAAGAAAATAAAGCTGTTGAGGGAAGCTGGGCCAGAAGGAAGGGATGAAAGGTGGTGGTATTTGGGAGGCAGAGGCAGGAGGATCATGAGTTCCAGGCCAGCCTGAGCTACACAGTAAGACTCTGTCTCAAAAAAAAAAAATGCAGTAGATAAAACATGAGACAGGATGTGCTAAGAGAGTATTATTGCACCTGAGATTTTTAAATAATGCATACCTAATAATGTAAGAGATATAAAATGTGTGAAGGTAAAACTCATCCACAACTTCACCTAGAAGTAACTCCCCATTTGAAATTGTTTCAGATGTTTTCAAAGAACATACTTTTAAAAAACAAATTAGTGTAATACTGCACATAACTTTATTACCTAAATTTAAAATTAACAATGTATCAGAATCATCTATGTCAATAAACACATCTCTGCCTATTTTGATGGCTTTAATTCAACTTTTCTATTCTTGGACATTTGGATTTGTTTGTTGTTATTTTAAATGTCAAAATAAACTGTACATAAAAATTTATGCCAGGCATTGTGATGCACGCCTATAATTGCAAGACTCAAGAGGCTGAGGCAGCTAGGCACTGGTGGCTCACACCTATAATCCTAGCTACTCAGGAGGCAGAAGTCAGGAGAATCATGGTTGGAAGCCAGCCTGGGCAAATGGTTCACAAGACCCTTTCTGAAAAAACACCCATCACAAAAAAGGGCTAGTGAGAGGCTCAAGTTCAAACTCCAGCCCGCCCCCCACCTCACACACACACAGAGACTGAGAATCAGGCAGGAGGATTCCAAGTTCTAGGCCAGTCTGGGCTACAACAATAAATAAAAATGACCA